TCTCCCTCTCCCTCTCCCTCTCCCTCTCCTTCTCCCTCTCCTTCTCCCTCTCCTTCTCCCTCTCCTTCTCCCTCTCCCTCTCCCTCTCCCTCTCCTTGTCGTGGCGATAGCCTGACTTATGCGGAGAATCTCGTGACACAGAACGTTCACGTCGAGATGATCGCCTTTTGTCCCGTTCACGGTCTCTATCCTTGTCGCGGTGTCGTTCTCTATCCCTTGACCGGTCACGGTACTTATCGCGATCACGTCGCCGGTCTTTCTCCTTGTTATCAATTTCGTCACTGTTCATGATCACATGGTCATCTCTAGATTCTTCCGGTGATCTGGAACGTCGACGATGTTTGCGGCGTTCTCGACTCGACTCCCGTGACTTCCTTGATGTGCGGTGACGGTCGTGCTCTCGTCTGCTGCTGCGATATCTATCTTCATCGCCTTCGTCGACTTCTTGGCCACCGGTGTGTCGCTCTTCGTAATCATCTTCGTGTCTCCGTTCTGACCTGCGTCTCCTGCGTTCTTTCCGCCTCTCATCCTCTGAGTCTGAGGACGTTCGGGACCTGTGCCGCCTCGAGCGTCGGCGTGAGGTCGATCTTGAAGGTTCGCGTGATGGCGTCATACTTCGTGTCCTCGATCGAGGGCGTCTGTCCGAAGCACTACTCGACTTGTAAGCCATCGTCTTTTCGTCTCCCAGGATTGCGACATACTCGTCTGACTTCGCCGAGGGGTTCGACTGAGGCTGTCCGCGACCAACGCCATGTATACCTCCACGACTGCGGCTAGCCCAAATATTTCCTTCACGCATTGCCTTTGGCCCGCTTGGAGCACCTTCGACGCCCACGCCTGTCGCCTCTGTCTGAGGTGTCGGCTGCGGATCGAACCCACGACTAGCATGGTAAGATCCACGTCCGCGCCATCCCCCACGACCCTCAGAGCCACGACCACGGTAGCCTCCACGAAAAGATTGCTGCTCATGCTGGCCTTCATTCGGCGCACCATTACTTCCAGTAAAGTACTCGCTGCTTTTGTCCTGGGCTAGATCTGCGGGAGTTTTTGAATGTTCTTCGGATTGTTCATTCCGTTCAAGCCGCTCATCCGATGGCTCGGTCCTTGCGTCACGGGCACTGTCACTTACCTGCTGCTGCTCATAGTTAGTCACGTCTTTGTTAGCGCCAGGTTCCGCAGTGGAGGTTTGCGGTCGATTTGGGCCTAATTTCGAGCTATTACGATACTGTGCTTGCTGATATTGCCCATCCATTGCCTCTCGTTGCGCCTTTGGGCCAGTGGGAGCATTAGGCGGCGGCGCATTGTCTGCACCAGGGAGGTTTTGACTATACGACCTGCCATGATAGCCCTGGTTGTAATAGCCCCTACCATAACCACGACCTCGGAACGAGCCACGTGAGTTGTGGAAGGATTCATTCTTGATAGGGAACTGCTGGTTGTGACGATTGTGTGAGGGATAATTTCCTTGGTGCGAAAATTGATTATATCCACCATCGGGATAATAGCCAGTAGACGCGCCAAAGTCGCCATTCATTTGCTGGCCATTCCAGCCTCCGTTGCCAAAATTGTTATTGAAGTCCATGCCCATCATGCCATTCATGCCGTTCATGTTCATCATGTTTGGGTTCATGCCTCCCATGCCTTGCATGCCTTGCATTCCGAACGCTGCAAACATGTCCATCGGATTCATGCCCATGCCGAAGCCCGGCATGCCTATAGAGATGAGTCAGCTCCAGTCTTGGTGAAGTTAGGCTCCGACCTTACCCATCATATTTGGCCAACTCCCATTCTGCATGCTGCTCATTTGCTGCATCATCATTTGCATCATTTCCGGTGCCATGCCTACGAACATCTGGGACATGTCGCCCTGGTCGCCACCCTGATAACCATACCCATGTCCTTGCATCTGATCCTGACCATCCTGGCCGTTCCATTGCTCCTCTTCTTGATATTCTTCATCTTGATTTTCGCCCCATGGATTCGCGGCCGTTTTGTCTTCGTCACCTGTTACGATTACGACCTCAGAAGCATCAGACTCAGCGTACTCGTCGTCGCCATCAGCTGCCATGTTGTCGTCATTGTGACTAGTCTGCAACGATATCAGTCAAGTGAAGTTGATTGGACCATGCGTGTACCTACTGGGTTTGGCTGTGGGATGACTGTAGAAGCTTCTAGCTTCTGTAGTTCTGCCTCTTCCTCAGCAACTCGCTCCGCAGACACCTCAATTTCTTGCTTAGGGTCTAGGGTCAGTTTTTGACCGTCGGGCAGTGATTCCTCAGGCGGCTGAGCCACAGGGAAACGCGCTTCTGAAGGCTCCAGAGTAGCATTGACACCTTCTGCCGGAATCGGCTCAGCTGCTGGCTGGCTAGATTCCATAGTTGGTGTATGGTTGATATCTCCACCTGGAACGGTCTGAAGTTTCTCCCGTTTCTTCTTCACGCTCTTGAGGAATTGCGCTACAGTGAGGCGAAGGCTCTTCGACGGTTTTGCATCATCGGCATTGAGCGGGCTGTGCTGGCATATCGGGCACGCCTCCGGGAGAGATGATTGACCTAAAATGTATTGGTATTGATGTTGACAAGTGCGGATGGTTAAATGTGACATACATGTGGCGCAGATGTTCTGATCGCAGCAGGGCAGCTTGAATGCGTTGAAGGCTACTTTGTCGCATATGGCACATCGCAACTTTGTTGGCACAACTTCGGCATCTGTGAGGGATCTTATCGCATATTAGCCAGAGATCTGCGTGCTTCGGGATCTCAACACGTACTTTGCGATGTCCTCCATGGCACTGTCGGCCGTCGACGTCGCCATCGCGTGAGCAAAGCGTGGCTGCCGAGCTCATCACCTACTCCACACGGATGCTTGATAATTTAAGGCTCACAGCGATCATATCAGTAATGTCGCTAGGCCTTAAAAGAGATAAAGAAGGGGAGGAAGGGAAGAGTGAGCGTGTAAGTGTTTCCTTCGAGTTTAGACGTCAAGTTACCATATCGCGACAACGGCTCCAAAAATTGGTCGCTCCAAAATGGTCACGCTTTGCCTCTTTGGTCTTGAGGGCATGGAGAGTTTACGCATCACGTGCAGCGACGTAATCTACAATTTTCGGTTACTGATCAGCAACAGTGGGACGCGCCAAATTACAGGACATTCGTAGCTAAATAGCCCTATTCCTACGTAAACAATTGCTCGGGAGAGAACAAGAACCGCACTTGATCAATGCCACTGCCTCAAAGCAGATCTGCAAACCGCCACGACGTCCTGCTGCACAGAGGGCAAGGAAATAATCAAAAGCAGTCTGGGTTGGACACAACGATGTCTGGTCATCAAGCAGCTAAAAAAAGCGCGACCCTGAAAGTCGCTGCCACACAAGCATCCTCTCCTTGAAAGACTTTTACAGTGTTCTGTGAAATTGCCTCAAGCGGACGGCCTGATTGCACGTAACATTGTAACCGTAGTCTAGCATAGCGTGATCCCTCTGCAACATCATGGACACCCCGTCCTGATCCGTGCGACGGCCTGTATCAAGAATTTAAAGTTGTTCTTCAGAATAGGGAGTCCGAATCGGCCAAAGTACCAAGAGAGTTTGAATGTCATACATCGTCAGCAAATTCCATTTAGGTCATTTTGTCACCTCAGAGCTGGAGAAGATCCCGAAACGTAACGACACTGTCAATCCTATCTAATGTTTGGAGAGTTTTGAAACAAAGCCGTGGCCAAAAGCAGGCGGATAAAATACCATCCAGATAGTTTACCCGAAACGGCGATCGCGTGCCTGTAAAATTCATAACGGGACTCTAGATATCTTTCTCCCTTTTAGGCACGGATTCACTTCGATCTCATCTGCATTAGAGAGCTATCGCGAATGATGCATTTTTTTTTTTCATCTTCCAGAAAATGAATACGATGACGTCCTATCCACAGTGGCTTGGTTTTCTGTCCGTACCTGTAGCCGTCCAGTCTTCAAACTCATACACTCGCTCGCTTGCTGGGAGTGAAAGAAGATGATTCTCGATCAGATATCTTATCTGGACTGTATCATATTCCTGATTTTTCTCACCCCACAGTTGATTCTCCATGTCGGACTCCTGAAGACCTCGTTCTGGCTTGTAGGCGCTTTGCCACATATTGGTGAATACTCCCGACAGGAGCAACAATCTCCCTTGCCAATGATCTGATACAGTTATTGCAGCGATCAAAATACCATATCAATTCATTCATGAGCGCTTCTTTATGCCGTTCGATCAACGAACGCCTTTCGTGCAGCGCGCCACGCCTTTTCAAGACCTCGTCATACGATATGTTCGTTTCGCTTTTGCCCACATGCCGTCGTTCATTGGCCGCGTGTTCTTCTCTAAGCCTGTGTCGCTGCCCTTCCTGCGATGGCGAATGTTGAGACACGGATATCTGCGCTCGCCGATTCCGTGGCGCGAGATCAATCACCAGAAATTCACTGGTGTTTGGATTGTGCCTGACGAAAGCCGAGAGCCCGACGTTGTCGTCTACTATTGCCATGGCGGTGGATTTTCAATGGGTTCAAGCTACTTTTACATGGAATTTCTGATCGCATGGGTCGCGCTCCTGAAGGCTGCAGGATTCTCAAACCCAGCACTTCTTGCACTCGAATATACGCTCGTGCCAGACGCCGTGTATCCTAAACAGATCCAGGAGACGTATTTTGGCTATAAGTACTTGCTTTCCATTGTCGAAGATCCCTCCAGAATCTGCGTCGCTGGTGATTCAGCAGGAGGTACTTTGATTCTAAGCCTGCTCCTCTACCTCTCTGAATCCGAGCTCAGAAACCAGCTGCCGGCGCTCGCATGCATGATATCGCCTTGGGTGACTCTCATCTCCGAGAAGAACCGCAATACGCCTTCAGACTATCTCGATGCATCGAGTCTAAGACTTTATGGGTCACAATATATCGGAACCAAAGTTTCACCCGAAGATCCAATGGTTTCTCCCGGCAATTGCAAAGACGTTCACCGGTGGGCGAGGGCGAGTCCACTGAAAGGATGGAGTTTCCAACTTGGATCCGAAGAAGTGCTGGGACCTGAAACGTATGACCTGATTGACGTGTTAAGGAAAGCTGGACAGCAAGTACATGTCTCTGAAGAAGAGGGAGGAATTCATGCCTGGCCTGTGGCGTTGCTCTATCTGGGCGAATCGCGCGATGAGCGTTTGCACGGGCTAGCAGATATCGTGGGCATAATGGTGAAAAGAATGCAATAGACGCGCATAATTAGAACCAAGGCAACAGATTCTTATTTTACGATAATGCCAAACTACGAAAGCATATGGGCTTGAAAAATTTCGTCCGCTTGTAAAACTTTCCCCAATTTGAAGGAGTAGGCGTACCTTGCTGGTAGGCAAGAAGAACGGTTTACAGTACATGAACTATTTCCTACGTATGCATTCTAGACTTTTGGTGGAGCGGTCTTGCTTCTTGTAGCGAAGGGCTACCAATGCCCTAGAGTAGCATGCCTGCGAAATTAACGAATTGGACATGCTAGGTACGATCAAACCCAGCGAGATACGTGCCAGCGACGGATCAAAGAAAACTCTCGCGCTACGTGCATCTTTTGTGTTCAAAGTAGCTAAAATATTGTGTATAATAGAACCAATCAATTCATCTATCGACCTAAGTAGCAACACGCTTCTTAGAGTACTTCTTCACCACGCGCTCGATGCCATCGAGACCTGCTTTCAGAACGTCCCAGCGGGGCCCGTACGACAAGCGCACATAGTCTACAACGCGTCGTCAGTTTTCCCGGAAAATCTTTCGCTCTCAGAAGCACTTACGGTGACATGGACTGTCGAACAAATCTCTCCTCTTGCTGGGATTCAAGTCGAAGAAGATGCCCGGCACTACGATGACCTTTTCTTTTAAGCATGCCTGGAAAAAGTTGAGACCGTCGTTGATGGCATCTGGGAGGCAAGTCAAGCGTAACCATAGGTAGAAGGTGCTGTTGGGGATGTACTTGTCTTCGATGTCGAAGCCGATCTCCCTCAGACGTTTGACGACGTAGTCTCGCTTATCCCTGAAATGGCTTTGCAAGGCGCGCATCTCCTGCAGCACCCTTCCTGGCTCGAGCATAGTCACAGCGGCTTCCTGAAACGGTACGTTGCAACCGCCGTCCAAGTACGAGCCGCAACTGCCGATGGCCTTGATGAATGCGGTAGGTCCGACGATCCAGGCCACACGCCAGCCCGGAAGGCGAAAGCGCTTGGTCAACCCGTCGATGATGAGGACGTCGTCTTCGTCGACGTCGATGACATTTTCGGCGGATGAAACGACAGTGCCGTCGCAGTTCGAAGTGTAGTTGTAGCCGCTGTCGAGCACAAGGTCAGCTTCGGCAATGCTTTTGATTCTCGGTTATGCACACCAGTAGAACTCGTCCATGATAAGCGTCGCACGGTCGCGGCAGATGTCTTGGATCTGGGCCAGCTCCGGGTTTGTAATCACCTGGCCGGTCGGGTTGCGCGGATTCGAGGTCAAGATGACGGATGTGCCGCGCGAAATCTCCTCGGCGATGCGCTGTGGATGGATATGGTAGCTTGCACGCAGTCAGAAGTCCATCCTTGCATCTCTGCAGAAACGACATACTTGTCTTCGCGATGAAGAGGGACTGGAATGGTCCCGAAGTTTCGAAACAGCGACAGCATCTCGTTGTAGGCGGTGTAGTCAGGAATGAAAAAGCCAAGATAGGCGTGGCCGAGGACTGCAGCAATGCGGATAAGGCCTGCGCGGCCACCTGGAACGATGCACACGTTCTCCCATGTGTACTGGCTCGTTTTGCCTTTGCGGTGATGGGCGTTGTAGAGGTTTGCGACGGCCTCACGGAGCGGCTTGATACCTGCCGTTGGGCCATACTCACGTGAATTGACGGAGATGTCCAGCGTGTGCGGTCGCTCGAAGCATCCCTCAATGTCGTCCTCGACCTCCGGCGCACCCTGACCCAAGTTCGACCAGGACTGGGGATCGTCGAGGAAGCCCGCCTCGTAGGCGCGCTCGCTCGTCCAGACCACGCCGGTGGACGCCCGGGTGGGATCTAGACCCTAAGAATCCATTTCAGCATACACGACAACGGAGGCGTGGGCTGGAGCGTACGGAATGGGCCCTGTGGCCCTCATGGCACTCGCGAAACTGCAAGTGGATGGCGGAGTTGAGTTCTGCAAGGGGCATTTGTGAGTTGCAAGGCTGCCAAGAAGCTCGAAGAGGAAGTTGATATGCCTATCGAAGGTCGTGGCCACGATGCAGCGACGCACAACCAAGCAATAGACAAACTCGGCTTTTGGCCCTCTTGACGTCATGCGTACCGTTTACACTGAAGCGTCTCTCGCCAAAGGACGAGCCTGAGGAGAACGTGCGGACGTGCAGAGGCGACTTCTGGGCCCCCTCATTGCTGGCGTCCATGGTCGGCGACAAAAAAACTTCCCTGCACCGCTGATTTGCAGAGATTTGAAAAGAGAGAAGGATCCTACGCGTTCCTGTGGGCTTCACCCGCGAGCTGGCTATTTAACTGTCGAGCTCCAAACGTGCGGTGGGAACTTGCTTCTTCCGCTCGCTGCACCCAGTGAGCAGTGTGCCAGGTTACATGAACTGGATTGGGCCACACGCGTTGCCAGCTCCAAAGGATTTTCAGCACTACCAGCGCGATTTGTAACGATGGCCAGGACTGTTCATTATCGGGTTGCAGGAGTGATCCAAGCCTCACGTTTCGTCGATTGGCCTGAGAGTCGGTCCACCAGGCTGCTACATCACGACACGAAAGCCGCCGCGCACATGGCAGAGCACAAGCAGGCGTCGTCATGCCCCTCGTGGGAAAGAAGCAAGGCTGGTACAGTACGTTTGGCTTCAAGCGGTGGGGACGAACGCTGACGCAGCGACACCATCGAGCGCAGGAAGATCCACGATGGGCTAACGAGGGGCGTGCGGAGTCTGTCCAGCAAGCACCTCGACGGTATCTGACCTAACTTAAGTTACTCCTAACTTAGTTAACTCAACGTCAAGTCACGAACCGACTGCTGTTGCTGCGTCGTATCCTGGAAAAGCCGCTACGGGAAATAGGGGATTCTCCCCCCCACCCGACGCTGTCCGTGTTGGCTTCAGCCAAACTCTCTATTGCTCCCCTTCGCACGCGTGGCTGACCGCACCGTTTGGCAAAGCAAAGATGTCAACACCACCTGAAACGTTGCTCTACGTATTCAGAATCTCCCCCGGGACACCGAACTGCCTTGTGAACCGGCTGGCAATTTTTCTGCCTAGAATCCTGGAACAGCTGGGTGAAATCACGTGACTTCGTTAGCCTGTTTTGGTGCCGTAACAATCGACTACCTGGATTTTACGACTCACCCCCAAACATCCGCAACATTACAAGCCCTGCAGCATGGCTACTTCGGTCGCCGTGCACTCGCAGCAAGGCTTCCAGACTTTGGAGCATCAACAACCTCATCCTACCTCGCAGTTGCCGTCCGTGACGACGCACGGAAATCCAGTATGGCAGAACCCCAACCCACCTCTGCCCCGAGGACGCGCGCCCCGCGACCCGCAAGCTGTAACGACCAAGTTGCAGTGTTCGACGCTGGCTGATATGGAAGCCAAGTTGCGAGACTATCTCAATAACCCACCTGCTCCCCCCGAACACTGCACTTGTGAGCTCACGCTGTGGGCTGGTGCCTCGTTTCTGGTCAAGCTCGACTACGTCCCGCCAAATCTTCGAGGCAACCAGCAACCTCAGGACATGGGCATGTTGCAGGCGGTTGCCGACTTCAACGATCCACGACCTCAAGCAGGCACTACGGAAGGCCGAGAGACCGCGCTGAGTGTTCTCGACGCCCTTCAGGAGCTCAGCGACCCGAAAGAGACCATGAAACGGCAGCGGGCCATATCCAAGGTCTGCGTAGCAGCCGTCCAGAAGACGGACGGCTATAGATATAGCTTCCACAACAGCTGGAGGAGCGGCGAGGACAACGCGTATCGATTTTCCTATTACTGCAATGACTCGCTGCTGAACAAGGACCGCGTCGCGAATGGCAAGTCCGGCTCCCAAGGAAAGCGTGCCACAAAGCCCGTTTATGACTGCAAAGGTGTGCTCAGCATTAAGTTCTCTGCAACTCGACAGTGCATAGACGTCGTCTACCGGCACATACCATGCCACGAGACATACGAAGATAGAGCCCCACCTCCGCGAAAGAACTCAAAGAGGCGAGCGGAATGGGAAGCTAAAAATCCGGACAGAGTAAAGGCACCGAAGAGGGAGAGCTCAGGAGCCAGCGAGCAAGCTCGGGAACCACCACAGAAGAAAAAGAAAAAGAACGACGTCAATGAACCGGCAAAATCCACTGAGGCCGAGCTGAGAGAGCAGAGCATGATTTCCTTGCTGGAACTAATGCGTCCCGAAGAGAAGAAGGTAGAAGCACCAGCAGCACAAACTCCCACGGCATCTTCGTCAATGCAGAATGCCCCTGTGGCCCCTGCAGCCGCACAAAAGACGCCGTCGCGACGACAGCCGAAGAGTGCAGTCCAATGCGCAATCTGTGTGTCACGTCGAACAAAATGTGACGGGGCGAAACCAAAATGCAGACCTTGTGCAGAGAAAAATTGGCCCTGCTTTTACCAGCCTGAACAAGCAAGTTCATCGATTGCGGCAAAGGGGTCTCATACTTCTCCGCAGATACAAAGCAACTCTGTACCGACCTTCGATACCATGCAGCAAGGCGAACTTACTGCGCTCACTCTTGCAAGCCAAAATGAGGATCTCCAGAAAGAAATAGCAAGCGTGCGCCAAGATCAATTAACTGCGCAAAAAGAAGCTTACGAGCTCAAAGCACAGCTGGCAGAAATGCGTAAACAGATTGAGTCCTTGAAAGCAGAGAACAACCGCTTGAATACGCCACAGCCACAACCCATCCAGCAACCTCCGCCACTTCAACAGCAGTCCACAATGAACTCATCCATGAACCTTGGACATGAACGAAGTCGGAGCACACAACACCACCATATACCATCAACGCCGCAGCAGCCCAGCTATTCTCCGTATCAGCCAAACACGCATCAAATGTATCATCACTCTCAGCAGAATCAAGCTGCCCATTCACGAGCGCATGGACAGCCTGTGTATCAGACAAACGATAACAGACCGCAACCTCAGAATGCTTGGAACCAAGGTCTGTATGGGCCATATCAGCAACAACATTCAATGCTGCCCAGCGCACACAATATGATGAGTGGCTATCGGTAAACGAGTTTGAAAAGTAACACTGATGATTTACCACACACATGAATACGGCCGTATGAATTGGTTTTGGATCATTTTAGCGTGGACTTCTGATCTTTTTGGCCATGACTGACTCTAGTCACAGAGTCGAATGTACAGTGTCACGCGCATATTGGATTTCCCAGAGGAGCCCTAATCCTAAATGAGGCTTCGTGGAGATCGCATCGACTTACCGTGGCTCAAAGTATTTTCTTTAATTCCATTTAGCGAACCGTTGTAATCACTGTTGCTCTTTTCGGTTTAAGTTATGGCATGTTTTGGGAGTTTACGGAGATGGTTGAGGGAGGTTCCTCATTCTTAAGATACCACTGAAAATGCAAGCGACGGATCTCTTTAACTCTTTCCAATACTTATCTAGCTTGCATACGTTAAGTTTCTCGAACGCATTCGATTTTCATGACTTGATTCCAAAGACCACACATGTTTGAGCCTGCTCCCGAAGTACATATCAGAAACAGTCTGAAAGGTTTGATCATTGCTTACTGCTCAACAAAGAAAGCAAAATTCAATGACGTTTTTCACGCTCATCCGGGGAGAACTTTCTTCCGTCCTCGTTCGCGTACGCTTTCTACCAAGCTTCATGTCCCAATCCTATCCATTCGCCGTCTGTGCCATGTAGAAACAGCGGACCCAACCAGTTTCGACAGCTCGGCTCACGCTAGGCAGAGCCAGTGGAAGAGAAGATGACAACGTGTTGCGAATCTCGTCCCAAACGTCCGAGAATTGAGCCCGACACGAAGACAAAGCAGCAGGAGAATGCAGCGCCTCTCATGTATCCATTTCGGCCCCTCGACCCGTAGCCGGAGCGAGGGAGTCGTCTTCCAACTTGTTGGGTATTTGACGAAAGGGCATAGCGACCGGGGTTCCCCTTCTCGTTTTACTTCGATCAAGAAACGTGTTTGATGCAGCTTGACCTTGTGGAGCTCTTCGGTCCGGTCACGGTTTAGAAAAACGAATCAGACGGATCAAGCGAAAAGAAAAAACACAAAGGACGCCAGGTACGGTCGAACTGAGCCCAAAAACGACAAGAGAAATGAATATGGCATCAGGTTGTGCTTGCGAACTGATGTTGGATTCGTTATCATGATACGTAAACACGTGGGTGGCTAGAAGCCAGCCTTCTCTTCAAAGTAGTTTCGGCATTCCTCAACGCGTTCAAATGGTATTACAAAGACTGGGTGGATTGCCCTCACACGATCCTGCTCTTCGACAGGCAGGCCTTCGGCCCGTCCGGCCACCGTCCAACCAAAACCGGCCGTGCCCTTGACGAGCTCGAGCTTTTCCTGGTCCTGAAACGCATAGACGTGCTGGGCGGCGCTGAGGCCGGCGAGCACGTAGCAGCTGTGGTAGCCGTCCGGGCCTTTCGAAGGCTTGTCCCTCAGGCCACCGCTGCGGAGGTTTTGGCAACAGCACAATATGTACCTGGCCAGACCTTCTCGAGACCACAAGTCAGACATCTGCTGGCCGAGCGCAGCAGCTATGAGCGACCAGCAACCGCCTACCCACCAGGAGTAGCATCCGTCCACGAGCTTGTTGGTTCGTCCTGCAAAGCCGGGCTCTGGCGCGTGCTGCAGGGATGACAGGCACGAGATCAGACTGTGCATGTTGAGATTTCCAGCCAGGCTTCGGGACGGAGCGTCGATGATGCTGAGACAGGCTAGTCCGCAGAATGCGTATGCACCATGTGCTTCGTTGTCGGGTGCCCCGGCGATGCCGCCTTCGTACGTCTGGCAGCGAGCCAGCCAGTCCTCAAGATTCGTAAGGAACGTCTCGTCTCCGATGACCTTTGCTGGCGCATCTGGGGGGAGTTCCAGGGGAAGATCCAGGAGGGCTATGATGACCATGCTGCAGTAGGCGCCGCGTATGTCGACCTCGCCTCCTTCGACCATGGAAAATCCGCCGTCCGGTTGCTTCATGCGCCCAAGCCAATGCCATCTGCTGCATGTCAGTCTTCTCTTTTTTCATGCGAAAACTAAGCCGACAGTAAGAGCATACAAGGCTTTACGGTCAATCAGGTCCAGGGCTTCCCGTCCACCCACTGTCACCAAGCTCAACACAGAAGCGTAGGTTGTGGCAATGTGGCTGAATTGACCATGGCCACCCCCGAATCCACCGGTTCCGTTCTGGAAGGGCGCGAGAGTGCCTATCACCTGTTCCTTGTACACGCTGACGTCCTCGCCGAGAAGGTACAGGCCCGTCAGAGCCCAGTACAGCATCCACGGCCGGCTCGCGTCTAGGGCAACAAAGCCCTTAGGAAACGGTCCTGCGATCTGCATTTTCAAAAACTTGACGTGTTTCGCTCGCGCTAGCGTCGAGACTCCGTGCAAGTTCAGGTCCCCCTCGGGCTCGGCGAGCAGCTGCACGCATTCCTCTACGGTCGCATCCTGCAGCTCCGCGGTCTCCGTCATCAGGCCATCCTTGATCGGAGGCGGTTTCGTGAACAGGGGGGGTATGAAAGGAAAAGCATCGTCGGTGGCCGGAGTTCCCACCTCCGCCAAATTGTCGTCGTCTTGCAGCTCCACAACTCGTGACCTTCGGCGTCCTGCCGGGGGAGATGCGTTTCCCGAAGCCGCAGAAGCAGCGTCGGAAGTCGCCATTCTGCTGAAGTATCTACCTCTCTTACGGCGCAGAGGGATGCGAAATGGCATGTAGTGGGCCCGTCCTCTTTGTTCGTCGTTCCTGTGACGGGAAAGAAAGGTTCAGTCCACGGAGCCGCTTCGTCTGATCCTCGTCCTGGTCCCAGACCGCAGCAACATCACCAGCACAAGGGTCCCAAGGGGGGCATGAAATGGCTTTTGAAAGAAAAAAAAAGAATTGAAATTGCGTAGTTTGTTGGATTAAAGCAGAATGACGCTTTTGGACTCTTTTTTTGCATCGAGATACGGAGCAAGGGTCGAAAAGCTGGAGAGGACCAGGATCCAGCTTTAGAACTAACACGTGCCAGTTCTCCACTTGTGTTGTGAAGAGAAAGACAAAGCAGCGGCGCGACCCTAGGAGCTTAGCATGCAAAAGCGCTAGTGACAGCATAAGCATTAGACATTCCCATTATTCCGGATCTATAGCTGGTACATGGAACGGATGACGTTCTACATCCGCTGCTCGTCAATGCGTCTTCCCGCAAGGAAAACAATAAAAGGAGGCCTCAACATCATCAAGCACATGGCGCCCAAGATTTGGAAAAAAGAAAAAAAAAAGCCGTCGTCTCACGCCAACCACGGCGATTTCAATATACAGGCCAGCCATCGCTCTCGCTCTCCGACCGTGACCCGTCTCTTTCCCTCGCACGTTGCACGAAGCCGAATTCTCTCTCTTTCGTCCACCGGCCGTCGGCCTCGTACGTCCACAGCACGAGTCCCGTCGCCCAGCCGAGCGCGGTGCCCAGCCGATGCGTATCCTTGAACGCGTTCTCGATCTTCGCCAGGTCGGCTTCCTTGTTCTGCACCGTCCAATGCGGCCGGAAGCTCTTGTCCTGGTCGCTGAGCCACTCCCACCAGCTTGTCCTGAGGCTGACGAAAATGCGCCGCGCTTCATGTTCGCCCACCTCCAGGCCGACGAAGACACCGCTGCCTGTCTTGGTGACGCGCCCGGTGCTGATTTCGAAGCACGTCATTCGCGCGGCGAGCTGTTCGATGTGCTGCGAAAGCTGTGCTATCCGCGAACCGGGCAGGGCATGGAACAGCGTGATGTGCGCAGGGACTTTGAGTCTATCTGCGGGGAACCACCTTTCTCGAAGCATATTCATCTGCCTCGCGATTTCGTCGCTCGTTCTGAGTGTCAGGACATATTTCGGGTCCTTTGAAGCACTGGAGGGTGCGGATGTTTGGTACTCTTCCCTCGTTGAGGTCGAGGAGACCGCGCTCGTCGGTGTGATCGGCGTAAGCGGAGGCGTGGCGGTAACGCTGCTGCTGAAGCTTAAGGCTGTCGGCGACACACGACGTTGCAATTCATTCTTTGGATTATACGTCGAGCCTGGCAGCGATGGCAGCAGCCAAAGCTGTGGCGGCAGACCCGTTTTCATTGGCCCCTCCATCCTGCCGCTGAAGCTTTGCGGCCTTGGCTTCTTCGTCGGTGGCTTCGAGTACGGCGCTGGCGAGTAGTGCTGAGGATCGGTGATGGCAGGAATTGATCGGGTTCGTGCCTGCACACGGTTGTCCTTAAGGGAGAGTCGCCTGGGGCCACCTCCTTTGCCGTGCGACGCCGGATCATCGACATAATTACGACCTTTGGCTCCACCGGTCTTGTACCATGAAGTCGCTGCCGCAGACAACTCGTTCAGATCCCAGGAACGGGACTTGGCGTGTGGCATTTCTGCGATGCCCAATGGACAGGGCTATTTCGCTTAGGTACGCCTCGTGCTGGTAGGCTGAACGGCGTTCGCATTCATGAATCGCCGCACTCTTATTAAAGGGAGGGAAAACACGAGGAGAAAGCGGACGGCGAAAGAATCGGAACGCGAGGCAGGAGTAAAAAGAAGTGCATGCGCAACCACCAGGAGCTTTTCACATACCGGTCCGTTGCACAGATCTGCGCGCGTTTGCTTCCAAATCCTCGACGCACCGTCCTGCAGCCCTTCAAAGTCTTGGGTGGCAATTGGCTCGAATTCCCATGCGGCTACGATCGTAGTCGTGCGGGGATCCGTTCGCGGAGCCTTCCACTGAGCGCTGCAACGGGCTCGTAAAGTTTGCCCTGCCATCGTCAGGCTAGTTACCTTTGCGGAAAAAAGGTACACCTGGGCGGCCATACTGGGAGCCAGGAATAGCAACCTCATGGCCACATGCAACGTCTCTGGCCAGTGTCTTACAAAAGATCCGCCGGGCTAACGTTAGTGACAACCCCCCCGCCTCTCCCGTCCTCCACGGATCCAATCTAGACTTTGATTCTTTAAAAAGGCCAGATATAAAGATGCGCCTTTTCAGATGGCTGAACTTTTTATCTCGATTACCCAACATAACTAGGGAGGCTATTGAGGCTCGTCTCCAGATCACCCATACCAAACCATGACCAGCTTTGCGCAATGTCTCGCGTGCGCATGAAAAATAGAACGCCGAAATGCATGGAACGGCCTGACCATCGCCGCTGGTAGAAGTCAAATAGAAAGAGAAGAGCCTTACGACCCGAAAAACATAATATGCCTGTCAGCAGTCCGCAACAAACGCCCAACCCATGGTACAGTTCGGTGTCCAATACCCGCTTTTTCGCTATATCAACGCAGGTCAGCCGCACTTGTGAGATGAGATGTCCCGATCACCCCCGCGCGATGGCAGCGCAAATGCCATCTGGTAATCACACATTACAAAAATGTATTAACTCGAATCTTGTAATCTTCACATCGTCCGTAGCCTGAGAATGCTCGCAAACCCCTCTACATGATGATCGATGGTGCTGTGCGTCGTTAGCAACCGATCCCAACCATGTTGGCATGCTACGAATACTTACTGTCAACGTTTGCCTTGATGCTCTTGTGCGGAAGAACGGAACCGCCGTTCACGTAGATTTCGTCGCCAATGCTCACATCGTCTCCCAGCACCGTCACGTTCTCCAGTCGTGCCCAGCGACCGACGGTGCTGTTCCAGCCGACGATGGTGCTCTTGACCCAAGCGTGGTCCTTGACCTTGCTGTTCTGAAGGAGCACACATCGCTGCAGACGAACTCCGTCGCCGACAACCACGTTGGGGCCGATGGTGACGTTGGGGCCGATCTTGCAATTCTTGCCAATCTTTGCCGTCGGGTCAATCATGACGTTGCCACCGTGGACAAACGGCTCGGAGGGCGGCACGAGGAGCTTTGAACCCTTCTTCGCCAGCGAGGACAGGTACAAGCAAGTGCCAGCGAGGAAATCCTTTGGCTGACCCACGTCCATCCAGAAACCCTCGAGGTCAAAGGAGTGCAGTTGACCGTCCTTGACCATGGCCGGGAAGGTCTCCTGCTCAATGCTCGTGGGTCTCAGCTCAATCCTCTTCAAGACGCTTGGGTTTAGGATGTAGAGACCGGCGTTGATCCGGTTGCCCACGAACTCGATGGGCTTCTCAACGAAGCGGTCAATTCGCGAGGGGTGGCCCGGCTTGTGCACGACGACGCCGTACTTCGACGGCTCTTCCACCTTGGTCACAACGATGGTGCCCTCCTCGCCGTGGGCCTTGTGGAAGTCTGCGAGCTGCTGGAAGGGGTATTCGCAGATGACGTCTGAGTTGAGGACAAAGAAGGGGGAGTCATCCTTGGCTAGAATCTTCTCGGCGAGCTTGAGAGGACCAGCGGTTCCGAGTGGCTCGGTCTCGACAGAGAATTCTATGCGGACGTTGTATTCCTTCTCATACTGTAGTACAAAGCAAAGTTAGCCACCATTACGGTGCACCTATGCTCCAGCCAGCCTGAGACGCACCTTCTTCAGCGCCTCCGTCATAATCTCTGGTCTGTAGTTGACTGCGAGCACGATGTCTGTGACACCTGCGGCTGCTAATGCCTGGATCTGATGCAGGATCATGGGCTTGTTGCCGAACTCAACGAGGGGCTTGGGTAGGGTGAGCGTCTGGGCAAGGACGGTTAGCCTCTGCGTGAACGGCGCCATCAAGCTTGTATGTGCATACCAATGGACGCAGACGCGTGCCAAAGCCGCCGACGAGAATAAGAGCTGCGAGTCAAAGGTCAACACGGCCTCCAGCAGGACAACGCAGGCATGCTCACCCTTCATCTTGATCTAGTGTAAACGTGGTCTGAAGACGCAGTTGCGGATGGCGATTGCGACGGCGATGAACACAAAGTGTCGAGCGTTGCAGGCAGAAGCGAAGGACGTGGGCCGTGGCAACGTGCGGGTATCGCGGCGGAGTACAGGATGCGCAGAGAAAGTCAATCGTCGTCAAGGAAAAGAGCTGAGCAGCAGAGAGGTTACAGTACACCTGTTTTATTTCTCGTCCTGCTAAGGAGACACCAACCAGAGCCTCGACTCAGCCAAACCCTTATTACTACTGACCCTTACAGGCGGGCTGTGGCACCTTACCAATTTAGTAGGGAGCCGCTATTGCACAGTGGCTGAGGGCGCTGGTTCACTCCACTAATTTTGGCTCCAATCTCGGCCTGCTCCTTTTCACAGACGAGAACGGCTTTTTTTTTTTCTTCTGCTCTGCCGGTACGCGTGGCCTGTTACAGTGCGAGTCCAGGTCTCGTGAACACCTTTGTTTGGTTTTCTGCGCTTGTCCGCTTGTCCTAGTCCTTGTTTCGATGGCTCACCGACTTGGAGCCGCCCTTGTGTCCTCATGACCTCTTTTACTCCTGACCGTCTTCAGCCGAGCTTATGGGCTCTGTGCTTTTAAATTTGCCGTCAATTGCACTGTCTTCGAGCGTCGATGGGCGTGTCCAGCACGGTTGGGAGGCATCTGGATCACCTCGTGCTCTTGAAGTGGACAAGTATACTGTTTCTCCAGTCGTGTCTGCCGTCACAATTTTAGATGCCGATCCAGCCGACCTTTGTCTTGCCACGGTTGCTTCGTGGACAAGTCAGCAGACGATCATGCAACAGATCCGAGAGAGGATCAATTGGATTGAAACAAGGCTGCGTTCCAAAAGCGCAGCGAAAAATAACTTGCACAAGTTTACGTTGAGCTGAACTATCTATCACCTTCGCCATGCATGGACTTGCCTGCTGTGGCTCCACACCACACCATCTTTTTGCCGCTTACCAATGTCGAGCCCCCTCTTCTGCATCGTTGACATTATGTACAGTGGCATAGATTACACCATCGTTGTGTTTTTCTTGCTTTTTTTCTTGTTGTACATGTTATTGTTGTCGTCGTCGTCGTCGTCATCATTGTCGTCATGAAACACCATTCTTGTCTTTGTTTCTATTCCACAGATCTTTCCAAAACTGCCTGAAGCCGTACCCCTTCACCTTCAAGTTTTCGTCGAAAACTCGCGTGTTCTCAGCCTGAAAGGCCTGCTCAAGAAAGCTGCCAGGCCGGTGACCAATCACTTCCACGTTGACCTTGCGCTTTGTCGCACGTTCTCTGATTTCGTCGGCCAGCTGAGGTGCCACTTCTGCAAAGCAGCTCTTCAACTCTCGTTCCAAATTGTAGTACGGCCTCTGCGCCATTTGCGGAGCCATCAGATTGTATGAGCGACAAAGCGAATTGAGATTCTCGATCGACAGTTTGTGAAAGGAACGTTCGTTGGCCTCCCATGTTGGATCACGAAAAACCTGCGGCGCAGGTTGCACCGGGCTTGCAGGATTGTCTTCAGGCGCTCGTGTAGCTTCGTCGACATCATTGTCTTCTATGAACGCCAGGTGCGATTTCTCAACCGATGACGTCTCCTTGATCTCTATGTGATTGTTCGCATTATCCTGACCGGGGGTGCTTGAGACTTTAAGTTCCCCTGTCAAGGTAATCTGAGACAGATGACCTTGCGAGTCTACGGAGTTTACTTGTTCCACTTTCTTCTTCTGCGGATTGATGATGGCTTCAGCCGCAGCATACGCTTTGGCACGCTGTATTTGCGTCTCCAGCGACCCGCCCTTGCTCGCAATCATCCGTGCAGCATGCCTCTTCCAATCATTGCGGAGCCGAGCTCTGAATTTGTTCGCTGTGCTAATAAGCTCCTGTTGCTTCTCTATCCACGGAGGTACAATATCCTGTCGTTGAATCATCTTGTTCATGAGATACTCGGTCGTGTCAATAAAGGGACTGCTAGCTTGGTAGTCTCTTTCGATGTGCTTGCCACGAGGGAGGTTTTTGAATTGGCCTCGGGCAATGGCATCTTCGATTCGCTCGTTCGCAAGGGATGCCAGACCTTGCAATGTCGCCGGTATGCTGCGAGCTTCAGGCGCGAAACGCGCCTTCATTTCCTTGCGATACTGCTCTCTCTCCTCAGCTGTCATGCCAGAGTCTTTCATTATAGTGTAGATTGATGTACGGTCGCGTGCGTTCGCCAGCCGAGCTCCCGATGACGGCTCATTCCTGGATCGGCCTGTGTCAACTTTCACCGGTGCTCCGCGCGGAGCCAAAGAGCCTCGGGGCACGCGCAATGGCTTATGTGCGTCGTGTAGCATTCGTAGTGAGGTGTCTTCAACAGACTCGGTGCCTGTCCACGGCGCCGCCCCTGCAATATCCCTCGTCCCTCTACCAGCACTTTTTGGAAGCTCAGCTTGCGCCAAAGCGCTGGCGTTCTTGCTTTTGAAGTTTGCCCCAGCAATGCGTTCTTCGAGTTTCCGCTTGAGCTCTGGATCGAAACCCGCCTCTTCAATTGCCTTTCTAGCGCCATATCCGCCGGACTCGAGCGCTTCTTCGCTCATCTGCTGCAGCCGCGCCGATAATGCTCCCTGCTCTTTCTCCTCATGGCGGGTAGATGAGCTGCCGTTGTCCAGGTGGTGTGGCGAATTTGCGAAGCCGCGTTTAGAAGCAAAACCTAAAACATTCGGCCTGGCTCTTGCTCGCAAACAGCGAGTGCAGATGAATGTAGCTGAACTCGGAGAGACTGGCATGCGGAATGAAAAGGATGCCTCACTCAATTCATACAGGTGCTGCAGTGAGGGTGTTTACAAGAGTCCGTATGACGCCACAAACCCGATGCGGAAATCTAAGATATAGCTTGGCTTATTCAGCCCTTATTCACCTCCAAGCTCACAATCAACCCCAACGGAGGTGCGGCTCGTGGAAACTAAAGCTACATTTGCTAGGTTTGACACTTAAAGAACTCTGGCTCATGAATGTACTGCATATCCTTATTCTGCTAAGTTCGAGATGTTGTTGTTATCGTAGACTTGGACAATTTTGTACTAATTGAATAGACGATTAGTGAATCAACGTTCCTATTCGAATGACAACCCCATAGGAATGCAAGAACTTCTTTTTATATTATCGATTTCAAGATAAAATGCACAAAAATGTTTCAGCAAATCCAACCGACTTCAGAGGCATATACCAACACACTTTCATGCTTTGTGAAATGGAAATGAAATGTCACTGGTCCATACAAGAAAACTGCCCTTGGCCTTGATGCTTTCCGATTTACTGATGCAAAGCATGACAATATGAACTTGAGAATAGACATAAGTGATCACTAAAAGTGTAATAACACAGCCGTTGAGTAGATCCATTGCAGCACTCAAAAACTGTGAAGAGGTCTTAGCATGTTGAAGTAAGCTCCATTGACCTTTTCGCCCTGACGCCAGTCTGTAGGAAAGGGGTGAATCGATTTCATTCGTTCTTTGGCTGGCCGCACTGCATCACATTATTCTAAAGTTCGAACACTGCTCCTATCATTATACGTACGTGACCGGGAGAAAATAGAAAACCTCGTCAATATATCTTCCTCGTCTTGCTCCAAACTTTCATGAAATCGATTTTCTCAGCAACGCCCAGCCCAACTCTTTTGACGCGTCCCAACCTGGCCAGATCCTCAGCGACACGATCTAGCACCTTCCTCTCCTCGTGGCTAAGCTCGTCCCCGTTGCTGCTGACTAGCGTATCCGAGCTCGACAGTGTACTTCCCGCCTGCATTTCGTCGAAAAAGCTTGTCTCATAGCTATTCGACCGGGCAGCGACTGGCTTTGCGTCCGGTGCCGTATTGTAAACAGCTTCTGCAATACGCACACGAATGCAGTGCGTCGGGCGAGAGCATAGATCCCACAGGAAGGTTAAGTACGCCCCCGGGATCGGTGTGGTGATGTCCGCAGGAGTATAGCGAAGATTGATTGGGAATATCTTGGTTTTCGGCGGCGTTGTAAGAAGACTGGGGCTGAATGGCAAGATGGCTCTTCCGTTGCTGGTTGTGCACTCGGGGAGAACGACGATGGAGGAGTCCGGGTTTTCCTTCAACAACGTAGCGAGGGACACTAGCTTAGCAGTCTTCGCCGGCGCAAGCTGTGGCCCTAGAAGCGCCCGCACGATGGCGTGGAAAAGCGAAATCTGCTCGACGAGGCGAGTGTTCGGGTAAGAGGCCGTGAAGACCGGGTCAAAGATTGCAGCCAGATACAAGCAATCAATAGGCGACGTGAACGAGCTCGCGATGACTGTGCCTGGCTTTGGTAGACGGTGCTGATGCTGTGCTAAACTGCCCCTTCTTACGCCATCAATCTGCAAGTCAACCCACCAGATTCCCGGTATCCCAAGCATCGTCCATAGCGCCGCCTTTTTGACCAGAGAGTTGACCGGCAGCCATGAGAAAAGGACGAAATAGGTGATGGAGAAAGCGAACAGCAACGGCACACGCACGCAAAACAGGAAGACGTGCAAAGGCAAATATATTCCGGAAGGCGTAGGGGCTATAGGGAAGAAAGGCGCGATGCCCGAACCTGTGATTGTCGCGCATGATGGTCAGCATGGGCGCACTCAGGTACATTTTCGGCATTCTTTTCAACACAGAGCTGTGCGTACGGGCGTTTGGACTTACCCTTGTCACGGTACTGTCCGTACTTCTCCATGCGAGCGTTACCGGTCCATCTAAATATTTCCTGCTATAAAGAGATTAGATATATCTGGCCGAGTCAGTGCGGAAAAGGTGATTTAATACTACGAATAGCACATCGCAGCATGATTTCATGTAGCATGTGAAGAGATCTGAGCTTGGGCTGGTGGCGCTAACGCCCTTTGAGGTAAGCGTCGCTGCTGGGGCCCGAGTGTTTACTGGTAAACATCAGCGTCTGCATTGACGCTTTCGAACTCTATCACCAACCCTGAGGACGTTTCCTGTCTCTTGACCGTAGATTCCGTTTGGAAGTGAAACTATGGTCTCGTCATAATCCGCGGTCTTTTCCATCCTTACTAACAACAGCACCTGACAATACAATAACCGTTGCCATGGACGTCAGCGACACAGTACAGCACCGAATTGCTTCTGCGAAATTCAGCGTCTAACAATTTCTAAGCAGACAATGTCAAGTTCGCGTCTCCGCCCCCCGGCGAAGGTCGTCATGCCATCTATCGGCTTGACAGAGATGAGTGCTTCGGAACACAATGCTCGATCAGCAATGGCACCACCTTCACTGCCAAGCGGAACGCACACTTTGAAGCATAAGCCATCGGGGCGTAAGTCAGCAGCCGCAGCCGAAATAGCACAAAAGTCAGTATACTAACAGTAACAACACAAGTGCTTGAGCCTCAATCGAAAGTACCCCGACAGACGCTTGCTGAACGAGCTGGCCAACCGTACACGAGCAAGAACCCGCCCGCGCAGCCATCGGCACGTCATGTCAACTCAGACGTAAAGAGGACAGCTCAGTCGGGACCCAAAAGCCTGACTTCGTTTTCTTCTACACACGGCTCCTCGGCGAGAGGTCTCCCAGGCCCCGGATTCGCTACAAATGGACGAACGAGCGTGAATCAACGGCCACAAACGGCAATGGGGCACTCAAGAAGCAAGTCGCAATACAGCGCCAGACCAGGCAGTGCAGCAGGAGGACTGAAAAGGGCGTTGTCGCAAAGTGTGCGAGGAGATCATCCGACGGCGGCAGCGCCAGCTTCAGGCCCTGCGACCAGCAATAGTGAGAACCCATTTCTTTCTTCTTCTTTACCCTCACCAAATGTACACACCAGTTTCAGTGTATTACAACCCAAACATCTTAGCTCAAGTCTCGGCTCAAGGGATCTGTTACATCGCTCGCGAGCAGCAAGCATTCAGAGCGACGGACCTGGCGCGAGATCAGGCTCTGTCCATGCAACTGCGCCGCTTGGTTCGGAGAGATGTGTGACGAATCCCCTTTCGGCTTCTGCGACATCATCGACAGGCAAAAGAGTTCCATCATTATGCACGAGGTTTGGAGATCTTCATATAAATTGCGATGGAAAGGCGAACGTTGTGCAAGAACGTGGAGGTACACTCGCACACAGCACTGGCGAGAACCGCAAATGTGTTCTTGTGCACCTCCCTCCACCGCCACCCACAAATCAGATCAGACAGACTTCTGCATTGCCGGTTATGTCTACAAAGAAGCCCCCATTTAACTCAACTACATCGCAAGGCACAGGTTCTTCTGAATCCGCGTCCCCCTCTCCTCAAGACTTTTCCTTTGTCACACCACGAAAAAGAAAGGCTCAGAAGTCTTTGATGAAGACTCCGAAGATGCCTCGCCAGGTATTCTATAGCAAAGACTCACTAACACCGTTACCAGCTTGGAGCGACGAGACAATCGAACGACGTTTGAAGGGCTTTGACGACATGATGATGATTATGAACAAACAGATGGAAGGTACCACCTTCAACCAACAATTCCTAAAGGACACCATAGAATCACAGCGGGATCAACGTGAGTTTTTACGATTTGGGCTCTAGTCCATCCAACGCATGTTAACAACATTCCCAGTCATTGAAGCTCAGATGACACAGAAGAATATGAGCAAAGATATTGATCGGCTCCGAGAAGAGCTTAGTGAGCTTAAGGAGGAGAATTCGGGCTTAATCATGGTGCAGACTGAGCTGCAACGGAACCACGAGATTGAGGTCGATGATTTGGAGCGAAAACATCGTTATGAGCTTGAGAACCTGCGAGATGAGCATAGGAAGGAAATTGACCGATTACAACGCGAGACGAGCAGAGAAACAGACGAATTACGGCGGAATCATCGAGAGGAGATCGATGAGCTCCATCGGAAGCATAGACAGGAAATCGACGACTTGGAGAGGCGATACAAGCATGAGCTAGAGGACGAGAGGGTAACTTCGAACCATTGCACCGTAGCCGCCGAGCCATGCTAATCTCGAATAGAATCGCCGACTACGTGAAGTTAACGAGATTTCAATCCAGCGGGATGAGGCCATATCGAAGATAGCGACAGGCATTGGCGAGAAAGAACGAGAGGCTGACGCAATCCGAGAGGAGCTTCGACAACGAGTGGCAGATCTCGAGCGTGAAAAGTTGGTCCGCACCAATCTCGAAGCCAAATTCTCCGACATCTCTGCCAATCTGCTCGAACTGCAGAGTGCAAATGGAGCCATGCGTGCCAAAATCGACTTCCTTGAGTCTGACAACCAGCAGCAATCAAACCAGTTCGCAGATTTGCACAGGCGCATGCAAGAAGCCATTGAGGCCGCCGCAGAGGCAAAAGCGAAACTTAGGGCCGAAGAAACGCTGAGGCGCAAATTGCATAACCAGGTCCAGGAGCTGAAGGGCAATATCCGAGTCTTCTGTCGAGTGAGGCCAACGCTAAACGATGACGAGAGTCCGGCTGAGATTAGCTTTCCTGACAACACCGAAGAGGCAAAAGAGATAGTTGTCCGTGGGGACGAGAAGACGAACGCGCTTGGGAAAGTCACGGCAACGAATCATACCTTCACTTTTGACCGCGTCTTTGGTCCCAGCAGTGCTAACGCAGAAATATTCGAAGAAATCTCGCAGCTCGTGCAGTCTGCTTTGGACGGTTACAACGTTTGCATTTTCTGCTACGGCCAGACGGGTTCCGGTAAGACCCACACGATGTCGTCAGCGGACGGTATGATTCCCCGTGCCGTGCGCCAGATCTACGAGTCCGCTACCGCGCTCGAAGAGAAGGGCTGGAAATATCGTATGCAAGGATCTTTCGTGGAAGTGTACAACGAGAACATCAACGACCTTCTCGGGCGTGCTGAAGACCTTGATAAGAAGAAGCACGAGATCCAGCATGACATGAAGCGCTGCAAGACCACGATCACAAATGTTGAAGTTGTAGAGCTCGACTCTCCGGATCGTGTCAAAGAAGTTCTCCGTACGGCGGATAAAAACCGAAGTGTGGCTGCAACAAAAGCGAATATGCGCTCCTCAAGGTCGCATTCGGTATTTATCCTCACGTTGACGGGGGAGAATAGCATCACGGGAGAGAAGTGTGAGGGTACGCTTAACTTGGTGGATCTGGCTGGTAGCGAGAGACTTAGCCACTCAAAGGCCGAAGGCGACCGCCTTAAAGAGACACAGAACATTAACAAGTCGTTGTCATGTCTTGGAGATGTTATTGGAGCTCTAGGGTCGAAGGGCGAGAGCGGCCATATTCCCTATAGGAACTCGAAGGTACGTCCAATGTTGTATGCGAATGTGCTAGACGCTGATGTTTGGAACAGCTTACTTACCTTCTTCAATTCTCCCTTGGCGGAAACAGCAAGACCCTCATGTTCGTAATGGTGTCGCCGCTGCAAGCACATCTCTCTGAAACGTTGACGAGCTTGAAGTTCGCGACCAAAGTGCACAACACGCACATCGGAACGGCCAAGCGGCAAAGCAAAGTCTTGCATTAGCTTTTGATCATACCATGCTGAAGAGGCGTTTGTGTCCGACCTTTTAAATGTTTGGAGTGTGATGGACATTGGAGTAATAGGATTTTGCTTGGTTGTCCACACGTTAGCCGAGTTGGCTCTAGATTGCCGGTGTAAAGGCAAAGCCGGAACTTGAGATGATACCTACAACATGAAATGGCTAACGCATATTCGAGCCTGAAGCATATTTCGATAAGAAATTTTTGCCCGCTCATGGTTGCAATCTGTTTTTTTCCACGTTCAGTTTTTTTTTTTCTCGTGTCGCGTGCAACTGAATGCTCTCAAACCTCTTCGCCGTAAAAAAATACAAGGTCATTACATAGCATGACGGAGAAACTGTGATCACACGAGATACGTCTGAACGGATTTAATGCTTGCGTTCTTCTCTTGTGGGATATCCGAAAGGGCCTGTGAAGCATCTTTTCTCTACGCAGTCTAGTATCTCGTAGCGCTAGATGTAGAGACACATTGCTTCAAACTCATACACAAGATTTCTATACCTGCTTAAACATTGAAACCATCAATAAGTCTTCAAATTCAGTGAGCCTCTTTGACAATTCGACTTTGTAAATTCTCGTGGCAAGATCTTGTAACATTGGCCGGGCTAAACGAGATTGCTTTCAACCTAAAGGAAGGAATAAAAAAAATTCAGATACCCTCACAGCCAGGATACCAAAAAAGAACAGGCCAGAACAAAAGAGCAAAAAAAGCCGACGCCGGCAGGACTCGAACCTGCGCTCCCGAAGCTATTTTGTTGTTAATGATCTGATTCGTGATGCGGGAACTTGGATTGTGCTTACGAAATAGATTTCTAGTCTATCGCTTTAACCACTCAGCCACAGCGCCCGGTTGCTTGATACCCGAATTTTTAAAAGTTCATTATAACAAGAAGTTTTGCTGCAAACCGACGAATTATCGACGTTGGGAAGAAGCTTTGGTTGACTTGCCTAAAGCTCGAACAACCTTGACTGAGGCGCGAAAGCAGGAGCACATTATTAAAACGCCAGTACTTGCCAGATTCTTCTAAATCTATCTCTACCAAGGTTTGGATTCAAAGCATTGCTCTCTTGCGTCCAGAGAAATTTTTTTTTTTGATTGTTGTGCTTTTGAGCGCTTTGCTTTTTTGTTAGACTATTCATTTATTTTCTTTTTTTTTTTTTTTTTATAAAAAAAAACCTATATTCTTATTTTTGAAAGATGGAAAGTTATTTCACACCCCTAGAGTCCAAGTCTGCAAAATTTGCATATGCACGAAATCTCCATCTTTAAGCTTAAGCTTTCCAATTGCAAAATAAATGACTGCGAGATGAGCGCTGACGTTGTACCTCTTAAAGCTTGTTGTGCTGGCCATGCTCCTCATGAGACGGGACTTGGATCTAAACTAAGGCGCCCGTTGCACAAACATCAACTTCGAAACCGAGCGCTAAACGCAAGAGACGTATACGGTGGTTCATGGTAGGCTGATCTCATACTTTTCAACCCTGATTGTAATGAAGAGACCTGAAAATAGAACGCAATAACGCGTGACTCGTTCAAAGCTAGCGACGCGGCCATCCTTCTCGTCTACTTGATTTTAGTTGCCTAATGGAGAGAATCAGAAAAATATCATTTAGTCGATGCGCAGGACAATATACGCGTGAGAAATGAAAGTCTGGAGCATCGACATCCGAATTGATGATGGCAACGACGAAAGTGGCAAATATTTCATAATCGGTCGCTCTTTGCGAGGCAAAATAGATTTGCATCGCGATGCTCCCGCCAGACGATATATGGGAAATCGACTGTTGCATTGTCATGAGGAGCTGGATCAATTTACATGATGGAGTTGTGTAATCCGTTTCCCAGAGTTTGAGAAGAGTACATTAGCCTCTAAGTGGGTACCGTCTGCGGCCCTCGACCGCCCTCAATTTTCTTCTACAAATGTATTTGTGCCAAACTGTGAATGGCCCTGGGAAACGTAACGCGTTCCAACAAAACCTCTGTCTTTCATGTCGAGAGGAGAATGATCTCGCCTTGCGGAAATAACGATTAGTCCGACACCAACCGTAATAACCGCAGCTTTTGCAGTAGGAGGGTTTGCTCTTGTGTTCCCCCAAACCCTACTTCATTCGATGTATCAGCTTGCGTACACACCATAGATCTCCAGAGCTTTCACGAAATCAACTGAACGACCTTTCATTCGCTCGCATCTTGGGCGCGCAGAGCCATCCATCCAGCCATATCTCTGATGCCGCTCTTAGCGACGTAGATGTCTCAGTGCTGTTTGCGATTGGAATCTGGCTTCGTTTCGGGAAGCCAGTTGCGGACGAAAGTTTGGACAAGGAAGCTTGATAGAAAGGAAGCCAAAATTTTCATAGAAGGATTGATTCAGGACGAGAATCAATCCAGTAGCTCCCTAGGCGTTTGTAGAATTCCACTCAGCGCTAAGCTCGTTCAGCTTTTGATTGCCGTGTTGAGATCTCCAAGTTGGTCCCAGCTCACAATGCCGTGATACTCACTCAGCTCTCGCTCCTTTTCATAGTTATCAATCTCCTTGCCTTCGCCAAAGAGACCGGCCGTGTGCAAAGCCGCGTACTGAAGTTCTTCGATGCCGATTCTCTTGTACTTTCCGAGTGGGAGGTTGTTGGAGCTCGTACATAGGATATCAGTACACAAGCTCGTTCCGGCGAATTGATCCAAGACCTTCGTCTTAAAATTGCGACGCATATCGTCCAATCTCTCAATCCGTTGAGACAGGCGCTCCATGTCCAATTTTCCAGAGGGAAACAGAACTTTGTCCACCTTGGAGAGAATAATCTGATGTGGCGTATTGGCCTCTCGTAGCAGCTCCAAGGTCTGTTCGTCACTCTTCTTCAAGCCGACATTGATGTCTACAAGCAAGTACGCAATGGCGAGCTGCTTTCTCTTCTGTAAATATCGAATGACCACGTCTCCCCATGCCTCTTTAGATCCAAATCCATACCCAGGGCAATCTACAACCACAATGCCGCCGCCCTGCCCTATCACGTTCCTAACCTCAGTGCCCTTCTTCAATTCCTTGGATCCCGCCTTCTCCAGCATCTCTAGACTCTGTCCTTTTTTTGCCACGCGCCTGGTACCTGGGACTTCAGCCGCGGGTCCTACGCCGAAGAAGTTCATGGTCTTCGTGCGACCGGGATGCTTGCTCTCGTGTGCGATTTTTGCATTCTTCTTGTTCAGTAGCGCGTTCAACAAGGAGCTCTTCCCTACGTTTGAGCGTCCCAGAAACGCTATCTCTGGGATTTTGGAGTCTATTGGGATATTGGGAAGCTTCGACGCAGAAAATAGGAAGGCAACGGGGCCGTTCGTGAAATATCGATTCGCACGGTCAAGGTCCTGGAGGGACGGTGCAGCGGTTGTGTATGAGTTGAGGACATGGGAAGCAAGGGCGGTGCTGGATGTACTTGTGGACATACATCTTGCTCTTGATAAATTTTCTATAATAGCATGACCTCTATGCATCTGGGTTCGGATGTGCATTGCATTCGCGCATCTGTTCTGCTGTTGAAGATTAGCAAGACGCGGAGGTAAGCACCCAAAGAGGCAAGCCATCTCGCCGCATTTTCTCCGAAGTGCGTACATATCATCGCATTCCTTCAAGCGCATCTTTAGTGGACTCTCCAGCACATCTTGATATCTAAAAGAAAGCTGGGGAAGGCTTGGGAAAAATGGCGCAGGCTTCTAAACTTCGCTCCCTTTACCGCCAATTGCTACGAGAGCTGCCTCTCCCGTCACCGGCGCCCAATGCGAAATTGCCGACGAGATCAAAGCCCTCTATCCTCTCACACCCATCCCCTATCAAATCACGGATGCGCGATTCTTTTGCGATACCGAAGTCGCCTCTGGCGACAGCTCCCGAACGATCAGAGACATACCTCGAAGCTCGCATACAGGAAGCCGAGCAGTTCATACAGTATCTCAGAGCGCAAAGGCAGTATACAACCTTGCTGGAGAGATATAATCCAGGAGCAAATATGGACGAAGAGGAAAGAGTCAGGCTGACGGCAAGAAGAGTCGGGATGGAAATGCCTATCGAATTCGACGTCAAGCCATTTGAAAGCGGTGGAGACAAGAAATGAGCAAGGAAGAAATGAAATATTCAATTACACATGTGACGAGTCGAGGGAGCAATCTGCTTTGGCAAGCGAAGACGTTGAAGGTCATCATCTGTCTGCACATTGGCATGAAAAAACTTGTCAGAGTCAGCGTGAATGCAGCCCGGGTATCGGATATACGCATCTATGGCGCTGGAACTTTGTGGCGAATGTAAAGGCATGATAAAGAAACTCTCTAGATGGAATTGTTCCATTTCCATCATCACCGGTCCATACTGGAATTGAATTTGTTATTGAAGGTCAGTGTTGAATCTCTTTATGCAGAACTAGACCGTAAATGCAACAGGGCTGCCATTCAACTATGCTGAGCAGCAAGAGTAAAGTTCAGAACATCACTCGCATGACGTGTATGAAAGGAGAAAAAGGCGTCGTCTGATTCCATTATGAACGCACTCCATCTCGACGTATATAATGCACACCTTCTTTAACAATCTCGATCCATACTCAGCCTCGCAAGGAGCGAATCGAGAGAAATAGCCATCGAAACAGTCTTGAAAGTTTGATTTGAGAGATCATTTCCGTTCTCAACGAGTCATTACGGCAACAGTTGCGGATTGTTACATGAGCAAAACGTTTCGTCTTTTGGTGAGGCGAAGCCATCCCCCCCGCCGATTCTCCTAAATTCTCCCGCAAACAAGCTGTAATGGAAGTTTTGAGGAGCTACGTAATCGCAAACAAACGGATGCCGCCAAAAGACTACCTAAGTCGTCACATATTGGGTGGACACATCTTATTGCCTTTAGGGGCAAATCCGCACGCTGCTGCGCTGCGACGGATCTCCCTCACACGCTTTTGGCTGTGGACAGGGTGATTGTAACATCATGAACGTCGTGACATCCTTTGAGTTCGAACTAGAGAACGCACAGTCCTCGCTACCTGCTTTCATCACGTAAATTTTAATCATGCGAACACGACGTCACTAAAAGCGGAAGGACAAAACCAAGATAGTTTTGATCGATGGCTGAGAGCAGGTTGAGGGCAGGCGCGAAAAAAAGAAAGGGTTGGATTACTGTGGTAAGGCAATAATGAGCCTGGACGAGGTTTCATCGGCAGGAAGCTAGCAGCGGTTCTGCGCAGAGTCTGTGACATCGACCAAGGGCTCTGCGAGCGGTCCTGACTAGTTGGCGCCTTCGCCCGCAGCCGCTAGCAATGCAATGAGCGCCTCCCGCTTCTGCCACTCTCCGATCACCATGCACATAGCCGTGGCGAGGATGATCTCGTACAGCCTAAGCTTCTTGACGCCGACGGGGCCGGTGGCCTCCAGCACTTCCTTCTGCTTGATATCGAGCGGCATCACATCCTCGAGCAGGAGCCTGTGAAGCACGTCGTCGTAGACCTGCAGGGTGCCCGCCTTCTTCGACGCCATCGAGCTCGTGTATTTCGCCAAGCATTCCTCTCGGAAACCGGCGTTCCTCTTAGACGCCAGGCGCGAGAGCGTCGAGCCCAGAGTCGTGGTGCGTTTGATCGGGCGGTCTCCGTCCAAGCAGACCGTAACCACAATTGGAATGCGCACGCAGAGTTTGAGATGATGAAAGCGCATCCACCAGCCGCAGGTCCTCGGCTCCTTGACGGTGCCCGTGCCTTTCCAGTAAAATTCGAGGCCGGCATAGTCGAATCTGTACTGCCGTGGCTTGTGGGTAAAGGGGGAGTGCCACGAAAAGTACACCACTTCAGTAATTAAATCCTTTCTGGGCTTCTCGGCCGGCTCCATCTTGTGGGGCTGGCCGGCTTTGCGCTCTTTATTGTATTCGCGATGGTATTGCTTCCCCGACTCGCCCCACATTCTCCAGGTCCTCACCCCATAACTCCTCACCCTTCGTGCTTTCTCGGTCGGCTGCTCAAATTTGCAGTCGGCGGAAACGACGCCTCTCGGATCGATCACGTCGGGAGCGGATAGTTGCTCACCGAACTGCAGGATCCATTTCCTCCAAAACCAGGAATTGTTAATCAGACAAACAGCTGGACTGTCCTTGCGAGGTCCTCGCCGCAGTGTTCGCGGCGGATGATGGAATGACAGACACGGTTTGTGCACGAAGAAGGTGTTTTCCGCAGCAGTGTCTGGAACGTTGCCCTCCCGAAAGATGTCTTGATCCCTTTGTTTGCGGGGCGGATGAAGTCTTTCTTGATAAGCCGACGTGAGGGGCGTGATTATGTAGTGCTCTTTGCCCTCCTTCCGATGGTAGATGTTGTAGGTTGACGCCGCCAGATGGTCCACGTCCAGCCGCTTCGATGCGCCCGTTTCATCGGCGGCGCCATTGCTCTTCTCTTTCGAAGATCTTCCATCGGCCACGTTTTTGCCCGTCAGTGCATCGCAACTCATGTCCTAGCTCGCGTTCAGCAGGGCCAAATTGGAACTCACGGCAGTGCGAACTCACCCCAGCTTTAGCCGATTTCCCACCGGGGTCGTCGAGCGCCACAGACATGGGGATGCATCTAGTTCATCTCACGCAAACATGGAGCTAGAAGACCTGAAACGATAGAGAGAAAAGTTGGCCTGCAGTCCAAGCAGCCAGCTGCCTTTATCTACGATTTCCATATGACAAAACGTTCAGGTGGTTCTTGACGTGCCCATCGATCAGCACGTCTCCTTTCCAATCTCGTATTTCGCTAGTCTACTGGGCGAACCCTGACATAATCATGCGACGTGCACACTTGAGCGCATGCGATTCGCGCACGGCCGAGCTGTTTGTACGCTCCCGGCCACAGGAACCGCGTGCATTGGCGGGCTATTTCACACTAGATGTCGGCGCTCTTGCGAGGCAGACTGTCCGAGAGAGGCCGGGATGAGATACGAGCACGATGCCCGCCGCCTTCGTTAGGATCTCTCCAGGCGCAGAAAGTCGGTTTCGAGAGACGAGCGACTGACTTCGTCCACGGTCTTTGCACTGTGCGAACATGTGGCTTAGAGCGGTGCTGGGGCCCGAGCAACGGCGCTGAAATTACGAGATGGGAAGAGAAAACGCTTGGAACGCGGACCGTTGCCGGACCTCGATGCGGGAAAGACGGCGGAAAGGGTTTTTCTTTCTCGTTCGATCTCGCGCCGTTTTGAAATGATGTGCTGCCCAACACGAGACGCTCGACGTTATATGCGAGACCACTGAGCGCAGAGGCATTTCTCTCCTCCTGCTCCTCCTCGTGCTTCTCCGCACTTGGCCAGTCTGACAAGTGCTGACGAAGAGATGGAACGCTTAAGCGACGTGATCATGCACACCCTCTCCATGCCACGCTCTGCCGACGGGTGGGCAGACGAGCGTCAAGAGTCCGTCCAACCAAGGACTGGCCGATTCGCAACAAGGAAAAGCTCGCCACGGCACGACCATGAGATCTTGTAATTGTTTCTCGTCCCCTTCGGCCCCCCTGTCGGCTCATGGATGCGCGCTACTGTCCAAAGCAAAACTCTGACTCTCGCAAATGCGTGCTTACTAGTCTGGTGGCGTCCAAACAGCGCCTAGATTCTCCGTCGCTTCAACCTAACCCCAGACTTTTTCGCCGGGACAAGCTCGCACGAGACTACGTATACTCCATGTCTCCGCCTCTGCCGTGATCGTCTATTAGACTTTTCTCACCTGTTCGACCTGACCGTACGCTATTCTTCTGTTATTTCATTTTTGCCTCTGTCTTCCATTGCGACCCCGTCCTAGCCGCTGTTGATTCCGACACCTTCAATTTGCGCGTGATGTCATCCAGTTAGCTGGACCTAGCACAGGACCGCGTTGCTCAAATCGTCTCCAATATGGTCGACAGACAAGCAGAGATCCAAAAGCCCGCAGGCAGCGATGGCGCTATCCTCGAGTCCTGGGCGCAAGGCTTCATGGGTAAGTGCATTTGGCTTCAAGTTAAGATCAGCGCGTGCTGAATCGCCTCGCAGTCGGCGCACTCCTGATCATGGCAGCCATCACAATTTCCAACATGCGGCGTGGTGTAGTGCTGCACAAACTCATTCTGATCGAACTGTGCTTTGGAATGCCGCACGGAACATTCATGTTCCCCAAACCACCTGTGTACGGATGGTACCTGTCGGTCACGGCGATTTTCTTGAACATATCCTGGGTCATGCACAACATCATTGCGTGGCTCAAAAACAAGCCCTTTCTCTCGAAGAAGGTCAGCATGTTCTACATTGGAACGGTCCTGCTGTCCATCCCCTACTGGATTGTCGAGATTTACGCCAATTTCACCTATTTCAACAACATCAACAACCTATTTCACTATACTCGCCCGTACGAGGCCATCTTCAGGGATCCTTGGTGGATCTTCACGACCTGCAGTCTGTTCTGGAACATCGTTCGCCGGTACGAGTTTGGCATCGTAGAGCTCATACGGGTGTCTCCTCGATTCGGCGTCCTACTCGGTGCCATGCTGCTGTCCGTTGGATTCATCGTAGTCGACATTTGCTCCGTGACAAAGGCAATTCAATCGAGTTTACCGGAAGGAATCAACCCGTTCTGGAAGCTCGCGTTTGTGTTCAAGTGTCTCACCGACACGATCATCCTAGACGACTTCAAGACTGCGCTGGACAGGTTGAAGGACTACAAGCTGCGTCACATGAACAGCCACACAATCAGCAGTGACGAACATCGATCACAGTCGCGTCCACACCATATGCGCAACCTTACAGCTCCGTACAATGAAGCTCGTGGCGTCACGCGGGACGAAAAGCTCCCAACCTACGAGGCCTGGCACACAGAAGCAAAGGACAGTAGTCGAAACAACAGCGCCAGCAGTCACAATGCGATCCTGGAAAACGATCAAGGCCAAAACGACTTCAGCCATATCGATCTAGAAATGCAATACTGGAACTCGAGCAGCTCTCGCGATCGTCGATCCCGACAGGACGAATGAAAAAGGTCTCTCAGAACCCAGGCAACGACGGATTACGAGTTTACGAGATCATGACGACGGTAAATGGGCTGCGCTGTCCAGCGCTTTCACTGCGCGTCCCTCACACATCAGGCGACGAAACGAGAAGTCGAATAAAAAAAAAAAAAGTTCGCGGCGCACTCAGCGCGTCGTGTTTGCACAGCGGGTGCCAACGGCCGACCTGCATTTCGTCAGCTTTCGTGCGGATCAGGCACGGCCCAAGCCGCATATAAGGCCTCCACGAGTCTCCGTTTTTCGTCGCACGAACGCAGAACCGCCTCGGCTCACCCCTACGAACTTTTTTTTTAGAGCTTCCTCGCACCCTTCTGACCAACTTCCTTTTTCCCTACAACCCCCCCTTTTCCCCGTAATCCCGAAACCTCCACCCTTGAAAACAAAGAATAGTTCCCCAAGGGCTCGGACAACATGCGATTCGGGAAATTGGGCGAGATGCTCCCGGGGATCTGTCGGCGCTCCCTGATCGCCGGTAGGGGCCGCTCGGGGCCCACCAGTGCCCTTTCCCACACCTGCTCGGCACGTGTGCGCCGTTCGTATTTTTGGCTCGTCGCGCGACCGCTACTGGACGACCTCTGTGCCCTGGTGTTTTGGACCGAGATTATTGCCGTGACCTGGTCGACTGGTCTGGACCTCTCTGGTCGCGCCCTAGAACTCTTCTGCGAACGGCGGCGTCGCTCGGGACGACTGGTCGCCTTTGCCCTCGTCGGACGCCTTGCTTGGCTTTACTGCAAAAGCCGAATCGCAACGCGCAAACGGAAGACGAGGTTCTGGTCGGCGACTTGGAGACAGCAGGGACGGAGCGTTTCTGAAGAGGAGCAGTTCGCCCATTCGAAGCGCACTTGTTTGTTTTCTCTCTTGTAGGATAATAATAAAAAAAAAAAAAGAAATCCGTATGCTGGACGGTCACGATCATGACGTCGATGTACAAATTAGTTTCTAGTTAATGTCTGTACATACCAAAATCATAATAATACCTGAATCGATCATGACAGAGCAATGGCGGCCGTGAGGACGTGGGATCTTCGGACGACAAGCGGTGGGCCTGGAAAAGTCAGAAAATCCTTCTTCGGATCCTTTTCTGCTCGACAGTTGCGACCACAGTGGTGTTCTCGGCTCCATCTCCGACAAGAGCTGCGCATCGAGCCTGGTTGTACTTGACCAGCCATAATCCTCGTGAGAACCGTGTCCAGCGTCCCAAGAGGCGTTCGCTGAACATGTTTCTTCGGTCATCCTTGAGCATCTTTTCTCCCGTTGGGAAGCACCAAAAAAAAAAAAAAATTAAACCAGGCGTGAGAGAAAAAAAAAAGGTGTCGATTATTCCTAGTTCGCGTAATTCGACGTTAACCGACGCCCACATGATATGCTACACACCATTTGATCCTTTCAAACTCTACAACCAGCGGAGGACTCCTGAACAAGGCACCTGGACGTCATGCTCCATCGCCGCTGGGCGAGAGCCAGGAACTTACCCTATGCTAGAACCCTAGACACGCAAGACGCCCTTCTTTTCGCGCCTCCCCGGAACGACTATGCATCTAGCAAAAACCGCGTTTTTAATAAACTATAGCAAAAAAAAAAAGAAAAAAAAAAAGATAAGGAGAGAGGGACGACTCAGAATCACGCTGCACCTATTTCCCCCCCTGACGCGGTGGCATCAATCCCGTTAGCTCCGCTTTTGAGGTGCACCCTCCTCGCGGCGCTCGCATAAAGGTTCTCCAATGTCTTCTGCCTCTGCCTTTCCCTTACGGCCTTGAGATGGAGATACGTGTCATCTAAACCTGCAATCTGCTCCTCGACACTAAGTGCACTGCTATCGTTGCTCCTCACGAGAGGACTGACCAGCTTCTTGCGGAGAACCTCCAAGTTCGACTTCAGCTGCAGGAGCTTCCCGTTATGATCAAGCAGAATGTGCTTGTTCTGCACGGAAGTCTCGCGAATGGAGGAGAGCAGTTTCTTGTTCTTTTCAAACTTGCGGAGCTCAGTCGCACGCGTTCCGATCAGGCGTGTCCACAACGAGGAGAGCATTTCGCCCTCTTCGCGTTCCTGCTGATCTGTCTCACGGATGACGGTGCGTTGAATGTTGAGGAGCTGAGTGTCGATACGGTTGAATTCTCCAAAGACTTTGAGCGTCATTTGCAATTCATTATTGATTGCATCCTCAAGCACGTTCAGGAACTCGTTAAAGGTGCGTCGGAGTGTGGCTGCATTTCGCTGGGATGACGTTTCGCCAAGTGTGAACTTGACGAGGTAGCCTAAGGGGGTAGGACCCGACGATGTCTCGAGGAGTCCGATTCGCGACAGCATTCCGTGCAAGTTATCGAGGAGTGAGCTTATCGAACCTGCGGGAGTTGTGTCAATGGTCTGAAGATGTCGTTTCGACCATTCCATCACTATGAGAATGGAGTCGATATCGCCTTCGACATTGGAGAAGAAGCTTGTGAGCACCACGGCAAGATTCTTGAAGCTTTCGCTCAACTCGTCAAGTTGCTTGACTATGATGGGAGCTGATGTGAAATTCGACGATCGCACGCTCTCACTTAGGTCCCAGACGGCGACACTTGTATCTTGTATGTCGCTGATGTGCTGCGATCCACTTTCCGAATAATAAATGAGAGGCTCAAAGGTCCTTGCTATTTGGGTTGCTTTGAGCATGTCCGGCGTCGGCAGAGGTGTCGGCGTCGACAGCAACGATCGCATCAACGACCAGGCCAAGAAGGCGACCGTACAGGCAGTAAGCGTTGAGGTCCATGTCCTGAATATCCTCGAGCACGTGTCTCGAAGCCATAGTACAGCACCATCATAAGGGTCTGTTCTATGCTGGACCTCCGCCCTCATGGCAAAACGAAAATCTGATGTGTTTCATTAGCCGCAAAAACAAACAACAGAAATCGCAGAATTGTCTGTGGTTCGTACAGTTGCCAGTGTGATCCGGTGCAGCGGAGCTCTCTCTTTCCGTCATCGGTTGACCTCCACCAAATGGCTGGGGAAAGTCCCGGCGTCCGTAAATACCGTCAGAATCATTCTTCTCCGGACTTGCTCCAGGGGTCTCCTTTGGCGGCGATGGCGGTAGCGGCACATTGGACGGCAATAGCGTGTCGTCGCCCTCTCCTGCACTTTCGTACAGCGGGCTGGTGCTATGTGATACAGATGCGCCGGGTGGTGGGAACCTGTGCTGTCGCATCCACCCGCTATTTGCTTTTCGCCATACGGGAGGTGACCATGGAGCGGACAGGCGGTCTGAGTCGGGTTCTGATTCTTCGGAGCGGAAGGCGGAGTTGTTGAGGGAGGGGTTGAAGGTGGGCGAACGATCGTGCTCGAAGTCCTCTAGGGACGCCGCGAGAGAGCCGTTGTCGTATATGTCGTCCATCATTCCTTGGGTTGTAGCACAGGTCTCGAGAGAAAGAAAGGAAAGGATATATATGTTGGTCTTTTTGCAAGGAACAGTATATATATATGGAAGCTGTAAAACTTAAGGTTGGGTAGCTTGTTGCGTGGAGTGGAGGACAGGGCTGAGTGAATGGATATCAGGCATGAAGGGCACGTATGGTACAGCTTGAGGCGAGCTTTCTAGCCAAGGGAAATGAACGCGTCGAGCGTACAATCGCACCGGTCAATCTGTGCGCGAACACGGATAAGACGGCGGTGGCTTTGGCTGCAGTCTTCGCTGTGGCCGTCGCTGCTGCTTGCTGCCTTCGCGAAATGGTGAATTGATGACTAGAACTAGACCAAGGTGCCACGGGTGAGAGCGCCAGTTTGAAGGGCACGCAAGAGAAATGCGATCAGTCGTTCCCGCCCCTCCATGGCCAGCCAAGTACAAAATCCACCGGGCTTGAAACACACGTCTCTCACGCTGTGCTGCAGTAATGCGGTGGCTGGGAAGGTACCGCAGTGCTTTGGGGAGGGAATGCCAGCTGTTCGGCCCTTGCAGGTGCGCTGGTCATGGGTTGATTCGCTGAGACCGCTCGACTGCCACTCCGCGCTAATGCATTCCGTGCCTGAGGCCGCGAAGAAGCATCCGTCAGGCAGCAACAGCCCAGCTTCGTCGCCTGCGCAGGTGCGTGACTTGCTGAATTCGGACTCGGTCCGTGCTGTGAACTGTTCTGTCATCGCCATCACCACCACCACCACCAACTTCACGCCCATATTCTGCACGCCATGCCGCCCAGGTTAAACGTGCTGCATCCACCCAGGACGCTGGTCCTGCGACCGAAAACCTCGCCGTCCAGCTGGCGGGTTTTCAATGGCAGTGCGCACGCGAGGCCCTTCTCGGATTCGCCAAAGGACCCGAACGTCACGACGGACCAGGACATCAAGGAGCGCACGAATGTCGACCACAACATGGCTGTCTCGGAAGAAGCGAAGGTGATGGCCAAAGTAAGAGGCGAACAGGGTCCCGATTTGCAGCAGGGCACGCCCATTGAGGAGATTGTCAAGGACGACAAGGAAGCCCAGAAAAACCTTCCCAAGGTGATGCAGGACGCATTGAAGAAGGGAAATAGTCCGTCGGGGACAAGGGCGTTCTCCACGACGGCCTTCCGGAGAGATCACACGCCTGCCGCACAGTCGAGGGCCATGTCGACGTCCGTACGTCGGAATCAAAGCCCAATGAGCATGACGTCGTCCCCAGGCCCTATCGAGTCTGCTGTCGTCGAAAGCGGCATGTCCGATCTCACGCCCAAGGAGCCGCGAGCCCGCGTTCGCCACCTGCACAATCGACACCAGAACATTGTCGAGCAATTCGTTGGCCTTTTGATCCGTGACGGCAAGAAGGCCGCTGCCCAGCGCGTATGTCCTTTTTCGATTCTTTCATTCTCCTGAGCCGTTCCATTTGTAAACGTGTTGCGTTGGATAGACACTGACTGTGATGATGGCTACAGAACGTTGCTCTCATCCTCTCGCACCTCCGCACTTCTCCTCCCCCCAAACTCGACTCGCCTCGTTTGCTCCCCGAACACCCACCCGCAGCCCATCTACCTTTGAACCCAGTCCTCTACCTGCAGTTGGCTGTCGATAGTGTTGCACCCATTTTACGCATCAAGCAGCTCAAAGGCGCTGCGGGTGGTGGTATGGCACTCCCAGTTCCCGTACCGCTTTCATTGCGGAGAAGACGTTGGGAGGCTATCCATTGGATCATCGATGCCGCATCAAAGAGGCGAAGCAGGGGCAGTGGAAGCGGCATGTTCGCTCAAAAGGTAGCGGAGGAAATCGTGAATGTGGTTGAAGGGAAGAGCAGTGTCTGGGCGAAGAGGGATGCACTGCATAAGCAGGCTGTGGCGGCAAGAGCAAACATGGTACCCCAGGAGAAGATAAGGAGGTAATCTGTACGGTATACGTCTATTCGGATCGAGAGAACGGTGCACTATTTGTACGATATGGAGACAATGAGCAGTCAGGTGGTGAAAGAGCTTTGTGTATCCATTATTGCAGGAGAACCAAAAAGCTAGCAAAGCCTAAACATAGCGGTGCGATGCCATCTCATTGTCCTAGTTGAGCACCATGGAAAAAGACAAAATCTTTACGCTCACCTTCTAGTCCTGGGACATGGTCCGTGGAGTTTTGTCCTCATCAACGACTTGCGCTTTGCCCCTCAAGACTCCGCGTTCTAACCGTGAAGTGTTTGCCTTTGTCCGAAGAACGGAGTTAAGGATGTGGCTATTCCCCCGGCGCTCCGTGTTTGAATGACTTGCTGATAGTAAGAAAACAACATTTACAGTGAAAGTCCACGGTTACAATTTAACGTCAACTAGACACGGAAAGAAGAACGCGGCCCGCCTAAAGGCAGGCATGTAACACGGGCGTACTGCAGCTAGATGAACGAACCTTAAAGGCTTTGAACGGCTCTCCAGCGGCGGTAAAGCAGCCAGGGGTTCGACCTCGTTCCTTTACGCACGAGGTTAGGTGGAGATCCTTTCCATGGTTAAAAATTCGACCTCCCTGAACTCTCAATCCCGCTAATCACGGCCAGAAGAGCTAGTACGATGGTGGCACTGGTCAGTATAAAGCTTGCGATGGTAAAGGCGCCCTGGACGTCCTTTGTCGTGACGGCCCATATGATGCCAAAGACACAGGACACAGCCCATGGGATGGTACCGGCGACAATGATGCGTGTTGTATTCCAGCCCTCGACGAGCTCGAGCGCGTGCCGTTGCTCCTGACGTCTCAAGCGAAAGACCCACTCTATCCATGCCGAGTCGGTCTTCACCTGCGACGGATGCGTGTATGCGTAGAGCATTTCCTGGAGGACGAACTCGTCGAACGGCACGACGGTGGGCCGATTGACGGGCGAGTACTGGATGTGCGTCAGCGCAGCTCAGGACGCAACGCGAGGACCGCCAGAGAAACAACTCACCGCGAGCACGCGCAGACCACGCAGCGTCTTCAGCGAGAAATGGCGTCGCCAAAATCCGCACATCTCCTTCTCGTACAGGCGTCTGAGCTCGTCGAACAGCCGCTGGTCCGTGGAGATGAGCTGTGGGTTGCGGGCGCACGTCTTCTTGAACGCTTCTGCGTTCTTGAATCGAGACGCCAGCACGGTCTGGACCTGCCGCAGCTCGCATCCGTTTTTGCCGGAACGATAGCACACCACGTTCAGCGAACACGTCGGCCGGGTGACGTCGTACGGACTTTCGTTAGATACTGAACGAGCACCAGGCGTGCTCATCGGTAAACTGTTGATCGGAGGAGCCAGCTTTGTGGGCGAGTTGTTCCACGTCGACGTGTTCACCTCTTGTGTGCCTAGTGGCTGCGTCAATACGTCGTTCGGGTCAATCTCTACGCCATTTGGCAAGATTCGCTGTCGGACTGGCGGCGTGATGAGCATTTGATACTCCGCCTCGCTATTCCGGACGCCGTGCCTTGTGTGTTCAACTTCTTCCACGACTTGAATTGGTGGCACGGCCTTCTCCATGGGCTCCTTAGCTAGAATATGCTCAACACCGGAGGGTTCGCCAGGCTCCCTATCAAGAAAATGCGACAAACTCGACGCATTTGAGCTCGAAGTCTTGGAATTCTTTTGTTGAGTTTGTCCATGGAGGGCAAATGCGGCCGGTTTGTACAATTCTTGTGCATCTCGGTCATGACTTTGGACGTTGATTGTTGGAGTGGTTCGCTCATATCCTATCACATCTGGAGAGTCGCTATATTCGAAGGGCGTCATGCGCGGAGGCTCGACCGATGCTGCCCGAGGTAGCGGCGGCCTAAAGAATCGATAGGTCTGGTTCGCCATAGTGCTTAAAATCTGAACTAGTTTAAAGGGACCATAAGCTACTCAAAAGTCTCGTTAATGGCGGCCTCAATGGAGGGTGGTCGCAACGAGCTTCAAGGTCTGTAGAGCACGTTGAGTACCACAAAGGCGGGCAGCTGTGGAATGTAGAAAGAAGCATAAATTGATCGGTTCCATCTTCGTCCACTGGACTGGTCTTATTAATGGGCATCATACATAAGGCTGAGGCTTCCCAGAGCGGCATCATGCGTCTATATCGTATTGACCACGATCACGAAAGAGGCTCTAATCTGGGAAGATGCGGCGCAGGAAGACAGGGAAAGATCCGAGGAGAGTGGCTGAGATGTCCACATGTTGACTGTGAACGGGGCGAAGTAAGAGCAGAGCCGCCAATCAACGGCCGTCTAGGACAACATCCCGACTTTTCATAGTAGTTAGATGCATTAAACACATCCGGCGTCCTCTTCAGCAACTCGCATTTATCTGGGCGTAACAAAAGCGCGTCATCTCGTCTTCATAAACGCGTGCAAGATCGATGGTGGCCATGTCAAAACGCTTCGCTACGATTAGATGCGAGTAGAATGAGGGAATACGCTCGAAGCGCACGGCACCTCTCCGTTCCGTATAGCCTGCGACATGGTCAGCTCGCACGACGTCTTGATGTAGGCGAACCCCCTTTTTACCTGCTTTTGCGTCGAAATGGAAAAGATCAGACGCGTCTGGGCACGTGTTCCTGTGAAGTTGCGCTTCGCCTGCTCTCGCCGCTTGAAGATGTTTCTAACGATGACTCGATCTCCTTCCTTTCGCCAGACTTGGCATGGACGTTTGTTATTTACAAAGGCTACGCAGATTTGAATTGGTTGGCTTTAGAACTACCTTCTCGATTTCACGTCATAACAACCGCGGTTGAGGACAACTATGTTGTTTGCGACGAGGTGTAATATGCCAAGGCTCGATAGCAAAGGACATACAAATTCAGGTTTGCAGAAAACGTCCTTTGTACATGCATCCTAATATAACGTAACTGACTTCCTATTCTCTCATTCTTTTTGACCTAGCTCGAGACTGCTGTGCTGTTGTAGACAATCAAGCCATGGCTTGCGGAGATGGAGTTGAAATGCCATTGGAGCATTTAGCACATAAACGACACGTCTATTTGAAAATTGATGACAAGATAACAACTTCAATTTCTTCGCTTGTTGATCTACCTATCTCATTGCGACTAAATAATTTTAAAGTCACAAAAACACCCTTCTCCAAGCAGAACTAATCCCACTCCCCATCTCACTACGACGAGAATTTCAAAACAATCAATCGTCAAACTTCGTGCTGTTAATCACACTTGTATCTAGCACACCACCTCTGTAGCTGCCCCTCTTCTTCTTGTTTTTCTCCTTAGTGAAACCCTTGCCCTTCGTTACGCTCAAATCCCTATATGCCCTGTCGGTATAGTCATTCGGTATATACGCGTTGCTCGCAAACCGTGGGTCAATTTTCTGATCTGCTGGAATGCGACTGAATGGTACGTTAGACTTTTTCTTCTTCCCGCTTGCATTCCCACTCGCGGGAGTAGCGATTTGACGGGATGGACTAGTATTGCCGATGGTAGCACTGGACTCGGAGCCGTTACCATTTGTGAGCGCTGGCGTGGGAAGTTGCTTAATGGTACTTGATGAACCTTTGGACTTTTTGACGTCATTTTTTGAATCTGAGTCGGAAGACGAGCTGGAGTCAGAGTCACTTGAGCTTTTGTCATTATTCTTAGTTGCCGGTGCGGACTTGACTGTGGTATTGGCACTCTTTGACGCGGGCTTATCATCTTCAGATTCGCTCTCATCGGACGAGGAGCTCTCGCTCTCAGACTCGCTTTCAGACTCAGACGATGAATCTTCTTCGCTAGAAGACTCCTCGACCTTCTTCTTCTTCTGCTGAACCGCCTTGGAAGCAGCCTTGCTGCTTGGTGCCTTTGTCACAGCCTCTTCACCCTCAGACTCGCTGTCTGATTCAGATTCGCTATCGGATTCAGAAGAGGAGGATTCGTAGCTTGACTCGTCGTCCGACTCTGGCAACGGTATCTTTGCAGCTTGTTTAGCCTCCTTCTTTGCAGCAGCTTTTGCAGCCTCCTTCACAGAAAGCTTAGGTTTGTCCTCTTCGTCGTCATCAGAACTCGATTCGTCATCGCTATCGTCATCCGATTCACTGGATGAAGACTCATCGCTACTTTCGGACTCAACACTTTTCTGCGAGACTGTTTCGGTATTGCCAACTGGAGTCGATTTGTTATCGATCTTAGCCTTCTTTGCAGCTGGTCTTTCATCCTCGGACTCCGAATCCTCAGAGGAAGACTCGTCATCAGAGGAAGATTCACTGGATGTATCTGCAGCTTTACGCTTCAATGGGTTGGCGATCGGTGCGGAAGGTGGCGCAGCTGCAACGGGTTTCCCTTGTTTCGCAGGCACACTTTTGTTCTCGCTGTCAGAGTCCGATTCCTCGGAGCTGGATTCGTCTTCACTGGAGCTAGAGTCATGGGCTTTTCGCTTAGCGGAAGGAGCAGCAGTGGTTCCTTTTGCAAGCTCTGGTTTTTTAACTTTGGCCTTTTCGTCCTCGTCACTTGAGTCCGAATCGTCCGAATCTGCTTCAGAGGAAGACTCGCCGTCTGAGCTGCTTTCTGCTATTTTCTTCGGTTTGGAGGCGGCAGTTGCTTCGATTTTCTTCGTCGCTTCGCTAGCAGTTGGAGCGTCTTTCATCTCAACGTCTTCGTCGCTGTCTCTGTCGCTCTCACTGTCACTCTCCTCGCTGCTGGTCGATTTCTCTTTTTTCTTTGCAGACTTCGAAGCGGTTCCAGACTTCTCAGACCATTCTTTGTAAATTGTCATCAAGTCCGCAACACCCTTTCCTGCATTCTGCCACGACACCACGGTTTTGCTAGAGCCCTCTTTCTTTCCCTCGGCCTTCAGCGTCTCCCTCCGCATCTCATGTGCCGTTTTCTGGAAGCCATGTTCATACAAGAAGACATTAACGATGTCTAGGAGGGGCAAAGGCACGTCCGCAAATTTGGTAGGCTTGCCAGAGGGTGCCATCGTGGCTTACTCAATTGAGCGTGCTCTCAACTCTTTGCGGTGTAGCGATGATGCTTCTGTGTGCAGACGATTAGTTGCTACGGTCACGAAGATTTCCTTTTGACCTCTAAAAAAAGGCAGAGGCGGATATGTGAGCTTACGGGTAGAAGGAACGATGAAGTGTAAGAGTGCAGCTGCCTGATATCTTTCTTTGAATTTTCTTTCCTGGCCGTGCAACTTTTTGCGCAAAGGCAGGAGCGAGACAAGAAAAAGATTTGGAAGCTACAAGGGTCTACACACTAGGCCCAATAAGGAAATGGCGAATGTGCTCATTGTTCCGATGGACGTGGTGAAGTCGAGCGTAAGCATGAGAGAGGCAATACTGATGAGGAGACAGTGGATCTCGCATGTTCATTGAATTCCATCTCATTCCACAAAAAGCTCCTCCTCGTGACGTGGTCCAAAAAAGATTGCTAGACAACAGTGCTCCAGCGGCTGCTGCAAGCTTCCGGCGGTAAGGCGTTTGATAGACACATCGGAGCATTTGGATGACTGGCGATATCCCAGACGTGCTACATATGAGGCATAGAAGTCCCAGAGCCATACCACATGTTCCAGGTTCTTTCAGCATACGGAACGTGCTGGTATGGCCGGGTAAGTGAGCATGGGTGCATTTGGTGGGTCTCCTACAGGTTTGGCTTGGCGGATGGGCCTGTCTGGGACGGTTGAGGCAACCTAAGGCGCGAGCTTCAGACTGCGGCGTTCCGCGACGGGACGACAGAAGGGGAACGTCAGAAACCACGTTGCCTGCTCGTCCAGCACATCAGGGCTCACACAAAGTATTAGCAGGCTTTTGACTTTCTTCTCCCCTGTACGAGCATTTGACCTGCACGCACCCAGCGACCAGACGCAGGCAGGGAGAGGCACCAAGAGAGGTGCGCGCCGGAGCAACTTGTTTGCAACCTTCATCCCCCCAAGGCCGCGCGGAGCCACGGGGTTCATATAATTTCACACCTAGCACAATGACGCAGTGCATGCCACAACGACTCGCAACGATAGCCTAAGGGGATCCGTCTGGGGCTGGACGTTCGACGAATCCGAATTGCGAGAGCCTAGAAGGAGCGTTCTACCGTCGGCCAGCTCGCATCCGTGGACCACAATCACAATCACAACCAGCAGCTATCATGGATCCACGATTTCAACAACCACAGCGCTCCGCCGGCTTCTCACCACAGCCGTCGCCGCAGAGGGGGAATGCTGTCCCGCCGGCGGGCAGACCGCAAGGACAGATGACACGCGCGGAGAAATTCGAGGATGAGAAGAGGAGGATCATTGAGAGTTGTTTCTCAAAGTACGATGACTCGGGGCAACGTATGTCTTCCTGTCCCATTCCTTTCGACTACATGCATACCCTCATGTCTGTTTACGTTTGGCGTGGTTACCCCTCAGACCGCTTCCTGACTGCTAACCAATGGCAACGATAAACATAGTGTCAGAGTCGTACATCACCCACATTCGCGTCACCGAAGACTCCTCCTTTCCACAAACTCCACACCCTCCCGACTCTCCTTCTGCAAACAAAGCCCGCATTATCATTGTCGCCGTCCGCAACACTGGCCGCGTACGCGTCCACAAGGCCCGCGAAAACGCAAACTACACTTTCTCCATCGGAAAAACATGGAATCTCGAGGATTTGTCGGCGGTCCAGTCTTGGAACATGTTCCAGCCACGCAATGCCGAAGAAGAGACCCAGAAATCTTGGGCAGGCGACACTGGCTTCACGGTGACGATGGGCAAACCGTATTTCTGGCAAGCTAGCACGGCTAAAGAAAAGGAATTTTTCATTGCTAGTTTAGTGAAGATTTATCGGAAATATACTCAGGGCAAGATCCCGGAGCTTATTGGGTTCCCACAGAAAGATGTAGAGGCTATGCTTGGGGGGGGAAGCGTGCAGCAACAGGGGGGGCCAAGGAACCCAGTTGGCGCCTCCTCGCCATCTGGGCCAGCGCCGCAGATTCCGCCATTCAGTCCAGGAAGACAACAAAGAGGGCCTCTGGGGGTGGATGGGCCAACGTCACCACCTGGTGCGTCGCTCGAACCACCTCCACGGAACAGGCCGCCTACAGCGAATTCAGGACAGGCCGCTTTCTTCGGGCAGCGGTCGCCTTCGTCTCAAACGTCAAATCCGCCACCAGGTAGCCTGCAAGGTAATATTTATTCTGATCCAGCTATCAACCGCATGCCAAGCCGAGAACAGATGCGACCACCTGGCCGTATCACACCTTCAGCGTCAATGACAAACCTGAATGCGCAGAGGCCGCGGGACAGAACTCCGGACTCGGTGCAAATGCGACCTCAGACAGCGGGGCGAGGCGCAGAGCGGCGTTCGCCATCGAGGACTCGAGGAGAAGAGATGGGATTAGGAATATCGGGCCGTCCAAATGGAGCACAACCGCTCCTCGGCGAACAGATTCCTCCACTTCCTCGTCCAGGCCCTCCAAATGGGTTTGGTGACACAGGACGCATGCGCAATGGTTCACAGGGCTCTACCGACTCTCTCCAAGATGCGTCGTTACCAGAGCGGAGACGTCCTCCTATGATTGGTGCGCAACCAAATGGCTCCCAAGCAAGCTTCAAGTCTTCTAGTGCTGTGTCGTTACGTCCTCCTGGAAGTGGTGTCGCGAACCAGGCCTCCGCGAGCACAGAGAGTCTTCTTAAAGGACGAGAGAGGATGCCAGGAGGATTCATACCTTCCCCCGCGCCATCTCAGGACCTTGAAACGGATGGCTTATTGCCCGCTCCTCTTTCGCCAAAGTCAAGGATGGATGGCGCAACTCCCATGCTCACACCAGAGACACCTAGTACTTCTGCCGTATCGCCTCCGGCCTCCGCAGAATCCAATCTCGAATCTACAAGTGACCCAACCCCTGTCAAATCGGAAGATGAAACCAAAAAGACTGTGGAGGAAGAAGTAGCTAGGCCAGGACTGGGCCGCATGTTTGGTGGCAACAAGAAGACTGCTAGGGAAATGTTCAAAACGGCGGCAACAGCCTATGGAGCCTTCGTGCCCAGGCCAGGAGGTGCAGGAGCTAGGCTTCGCGCCGGTGGAGATGAAAAAGAGAAGGACTCTGATGGAATTTCGGGCGTCTTTCAGGCTCGGAACTTGAACAGGATGAAAACGGACGACAGCCTTAAGTCGACCGAGTCTCCCAAGGAGGATAACTCCGTACAAGCCACTCCCACGTCGGCCAAGGGTGCGGCGCCGCCACCAGAAATACCGGCCGCAGAAACGCTTCCCCAGGTCACTGTGTCCAGTCCTTTATCCCCTCCGAAAGGAGGGGAGAAAGAGCGGCCAGTACTACCTGTGGGACCAGATCCAGCTCTAGAGGCAGCCATGGCAGCGGCAGCAGCGCAAAAGAAAGCCAAACTCGCAGAGGAAGAGCGCCGGAAGAAGAGACGATCTGTAACTCAAATGAAGTATTTCTCCCGTTTGGGCGTTGACTCGGCTTTCTTTGAGGGCAAGGGTCTGGACTTCGAAGCTGCTCTTGAAGACATCGGATGGGGCACTACTTCAACTTCAGCCAAGTTCAAGAGCGTAGAAGCGCTGGAAGCGGATATTAGAAAAGAAATCGCGAGGGTGGAGGCCGGTAGTTGGTTAGGTCAAAGCAGCCTCGATCAAAAGGATGAACGGATTGATGCCGTTGAGAAGTTACTAGACAAGGCAATCGCGGAGTGTGATGAGCTCGATGGACTGCTCACACTATACAGCGTAGAGCTGAGCAGTCTTAATGACGACATTGCTTTCATTGAGGCTCAGTCGCAGGGTCTGCAGGTACAGACAGCGAACCAGAAATTACTTCAATTGGAGCTGCAGAATCTGCTCAAGACCATATCGATTGGGCCGCGTGAGTTAGAGCCTCTAAAACGACCTATGCCTAGCACGCCACAGGGACTGGAGAGTATTGAGCAAGCGCTGCTCGGATTGTATAAAGCAATGGTTACGATCGACCCAGGTATCCGACAAAATGCCAAGGCCGGGGCTAATGGAGGGAATGCAAGCGGATCGTCCGAGTTGAGTTCAATGGTTGCCCTGCAAGAGAAAAGTGACCAGTTTCTCTCTGAGTGTTCGATGTTTCTGAAGAGATTCACACAGCATATGGATCTTACATTCGGCGCGGCCATGCTCTCGGCGAGGGACATTATTTCCAGGACGAAGGGGGCTAATGGAGCCAAGATGAGCACAGAGCCTTTCGATGCTGCAAGAGCAGATTTGTGGCCGTACAGCCCATTGATGCTATTTGCCAAGGAACTGGATCGCCCTTCATGGGATATTCTAATGAGAATGTATCAAAGCCGTGCCAAGCCACTCTATGCCGAAGAGTTCAGCGCGAATGTGCTTGTGTGGAAGAAACTCTCGCTTAAGCTTTCAACCGACGAAACTGATGCTCTCCTTTTCACACACAACGCCGAGAAGGAAAACGAGAATATGGCCGCAACAGCACGTCGCATAACTGTGAAACGTAGCCAGACACTTGCGAGAGGGTTAAGACAGGCTTCTTCTGAAAAAGACAAAGAACGAAGTGCGAAGGGCGCCCCCGCAGGCAGTATGTTCCCATTCGACGCATTTAAAGGGGCGCTGGAGGAAATGACCGGTCTGATTGCCGTCGAGCAGAACTTTATTGTAGACTTCTTCCATGCTACCGGCACTGAAAGTATAGATTTTGCAGATGCTGTTGCCGCTGCGCCACCCGAAGCGCGCCGAGGAGGAAACATATATGGACGCAAGGCTTTCGAACCTGATCGCGAGATGGCGAAGAGGGTTAGCAATGCGATGGAAGACGTCTTCGGTTCATTCGATAAAGAAATCTCGGCGCTTATCAAATGGGCAACTGACATGAGTCCTTTGCAGGGCATTGGCATCATGTATGCTCTTAACAAGACGAGCGCGCAATACGAGGACACGAACCAGGACTTCCTAAACAGGATCATTGCCACACAAACACAACGCCTTAGTGGACTATGGACTAAGTTCGTTGATGACCAGGTGCGCGCTATCGAAGCCACCAAGGTCAAGCTAGATAAGCGCAAAGGCGTCGTTGGCTTCATCAAGACTTTCCCCGACTTCTCAACTGCAATCGAAAACCAATTACCACCCGCAACGGATGAACCTGCTATGAATAGTGAGGTCCGTGCGATGGTCGACGCCGCTTACGAGCGCATCAATAAAGCAATCTTTACGACCATTCGCCGACTAGCTAAAGAGATCCAGGCAGCTGGTTCATCAGGTGCCGCAACACTGGGTGCAGCGCGCGAGGAGATCGAGGAGAAGAATGCTCTCAACTCCCATATTCTCCTCATTGAAAACATGAATCACTACGTCGAAGAGGTGGACGCGCGGGGCGACCCTGTCCTCGAAGCTGGTAAAGCGGATGCAAGGGAGGATTTTGAGGACCACTTGGGAGTATATGTTGATAGTGTTGTGCGGAGGCCATTGGGAAAGATCATGGTATTTTTTCCCAATTCTTTCATTTCGACCAACACTGATCGTGGGACAGGATTTCATAGATACAATCACTCTGGCAATGCAGGCCCTTCCTCCAACGGCCTCGCCAACGTCCCTCGCAACACGAGTGCAGACCTCGCGCAACAACTTTGCCAAAATGCTCAAGGACCACAACGCTAGAAAGCCGCGTGAGAAGGTCAATGAGCTCACTCGCCGAGTAGAGAAGCATTTCCTCGAGGGTGACGAACAGAATCTAAGCAGAGAGCTTGTGAATAAGGTCCTGGCCAGATGCGAGGAGAAGTACAATGCTGTCTTCGAAAAGTGCCAAGAGCTAGGACGTGAAGTGTATGAGGGTGGCGTCGAGGGATTGGATGCGCTAGGTTCCAGGGACGACGTCGCCAGGTGGTTTAGAGGGGCAAGATGATGAATGTCTATGTTGATTTCTTGGGACATGTGCATTGCGTCTTAAAAGCTTCACTGCATATTGGAAGTCAATTTCGACTGGGAAATCATTTTCGTATGCAGAAGAACAGGATTGTTCTTGTATAGTCGATGTACGGTGTTTTATTTATCTCCTGACTGATGCCTTCGTCACACTATGTTTTCTTCACGCAATTGGAACTGGTTCTCTCGAAGGCGCCGTTTGGACTTACGCTAGTGACCCTTTTATTATCATTTTGCCGATTTTAAGAACTCACCCGTTAGTATACTGGTGGATGATCATCTACGATGAACGAGTGATGCACGCCACCAGCATCATTTTTCTGAATTTGACGTTATTTTAACAACTCCAAGTAACAAATCAAGGTTATTGTCCTGGCGAAAATTAGCCATCGACTTGACATGACCAATAGGGAGCTTGGCTGCGGTGTATGAACCTCTTACACAAAGAGCATAATCAAGTAAATTGAATGAACTTCTATAGCTCGAGCAAATGTCGAGATGAATTTATTTTCACATCATACGACTTGTTGACAGAACAGCGCGCTTCAGTTAACAGTGTATCCGAATTGGCTAAGATGATATTTTTGGTAGATCTAAATTGTACGTAGCTATTGAATAACCAGCGCAATGCGTTTTTTTGACCCACCATGGCTGGAACGGTGTAATTAAGAGGAAGGATTTGAACATTTCCGTCTAGACGGTGTTGATTAAGTCCTTGGCCATTGGCTATACCAAGAGCACGACTGTCGGAGTGGCAGAGCCATCTTGTAGATGCGTTCAAGCGTAACTCTGGGGACCGAACGAGTCGGTTTTGGGGAATGCGAATATGAGCTCAAAGACGCGCATATGTAATTTTCCAAGACGAGAGAACTTACAAGAAGTGAAGCGGCGTTATGTCTTAGGATGTTCAGCACCCTGTACGGGAAGATATACTGGTTCACTTCTATTCTGGCTTGAAGAAATGACAGATACGAGTGAGCATTCGCGTTTCCTCGGCCGGCGCGTGGCGACGGCGGAAGCCAGGATCGAGAAGTTAATGGGGACGATACGTCTGTTGCCAGCGTCAAGATTTCGATGACAGAACGTCAGCCACATCCAGAGCCAACAATTCGTTCGGCCGTGCGCGCGAATACGGAGTCATAATTATATCGGTATCCAAGATACGAGATATGTTTGACCATCAAGTCAAAGACGTCAAGTGTCGCATGAGCTAACCGACTTGCTGCTTGAGCAGTGTGTTAAAGATTTCTCTTGTGTTGTAAGTAAATTGATTTTAGATTTCGATGAAAAAGTGCCAGCCGGATACTTCTCATAGCCGCCACGAACTAGAATCTGTATCTGCTCGTCTCGCCCTTGCAAGAGTTCAAGCGCACAACTTGAAAATGGAACTGGCTTACATCTGGATGAGTAATGGTATGTGGCCAATACAATGGTTTCTCACAGTGCCATCTCTATTGGTGTTTGACTCTCTTTCGGCTTTAACGTTATACGAGCTCTTAACTCCAGGAATATCGACTAGGTCGCTGCACCCGAGAGATGCATGAAGTTACAGGTTCTCTTCGGCGATTAGCTTTAACAGCTAGGAAATACAGGTGTTTCACGTCCGGTGGCCAATGTGCATTTCAATTTCTTTTGCCATTCGCTGCAGCAGAGTACTTAATGTTGCGTTCGGAAGGACTGTTGTGGACTCTAGGTCTTCCCGCGACACAAATCTCAGAAGTAAAAGTCTAGGCTATAGCCAGCAATGACCATGGGAGCATCGCCGAACCAAACTATTATACTAGTTGTTGGAGGTGAACTGAAATTGGCATTTTTCTTTCTCGTCCCTTATTGATCATATCAGGGAATTCTGGCATCGGATTTGAGCTGGCCAATCAGCTTCTCGCGGATGAGAACAAGCTCGTGCTCTTAGGCTGTCGGTCTATTGTGAAGGGCAAAGCCGCCGTTGAGAGGCTGCAGTCCAGAAATCTAGCGGGCTCCGTGCAAATGATCCAGGTGGATATCGACAGCAAAGAGTCTATTGCGGCCGCTGCGCAAAACATAGAAGAGAAATATGGAAGGTAAACTCTGGGTTGATTTAAAGAAAATTACTATTGAACGGTCTAACGAACTGGAAGGCTTGATGCCCTTGTTAATAGTGCCGGAATCGCTTGGTTACCTGATATGACGGTAGAGGAGAAAATGATGACAGCATTCCGGACAAACGCTGTTGGAGCTTGGTTGCTGGGGGAAGCGATGGTGCCGCTACTTAAGAAATCAAGCGGTACCGCTCGACTGGTCAATGTTTCAAGCGGTGCCGGCTCCGTGCATATCCAATTGAAACATGGGGCAGAGTTCAAGTCGCCAACCGTCCACTACAATGCAAGCAAGGCTGCACTGAACATGATCAATGCTGTGCAATCCACGAACTACGGCCCAAAGGTCAAGGTCTTCGCGTATTGCCCTGGCTTCACCGTGAGCAACCTCAGCCCGTTCTGCAAGGCTGAAAACGGCGCAAAGCCGACGTTCGAGGCCGTGAAGCCCATGTTGGCCATTCTGAACGGAGACAGAGATGCGGAAAATGGCGGTTTCCTCATAGGTGGCATGCGAGGTCGGGAGCATCAAATCTCCAGAGATATTCACGTCGGGGAAGACCAACTACCATGGTGATGGAACGAAAGTGGCCTGCTTTGTAACGCCAGCTTCACGTAGCCTATCTTTTTTCTGGAAGTCATATCAACACCAGGAAGAAATTAAGCCAATTCTCTTACCAAACCGCACTTCATACTGTCGATTCTGCGTGGAGATGCTTCCCACTTCTCTAAGTGCAATATTCCTGTTCTATGCATCTCCTTTGGCATCCTGAATATACTGCGTTCAAAGGTGAGCAAGAAACCCCGGAGCTCGGTGGAACTCCGTCAGCTATTTCTAAGCATGGGCTATGTCGAGAAATTTTCGGCCAATTCGGCTGGCCGAAGTGCGAGAATGAGTTGAGTATCTAAGCACAGCGGTACAATGAAAGTTGCCTAGCAAACGCACAGATCTCTAACACAATGTCTAATCGTGTACTCTTTATTCTTGGCGCTGGCCCAAAGATTGGGTTCTCTGTTGCTCAGGCGTTTGCTGCAAATGGATACAAGGTGGCTCTCGCATCGCGAAGCATAGAGGACGGCATGAGAGAGGATGGTCTTTTTGGCGTTAATCTAGACTTAACCAAGCCTGAAATGGTCGAAAGTGCGTTTGAAAAGGTCGAGAAACAATTTGGAGTTCCTTCAGTAGTAGTGTACAATGGTATGTGGCTTCGCTGTCTAGCATTGATCGTTCTCATTTGCTGACTACGCTCTTCTAGCGGCTCTGAGGAATGCACTCGAGGCTGATGACCCTTTAAGTGGGATTGACCTCGACCAAGTACAGCAAGAATGGGCCGTAAATGTTACATCGGCGCTCTTTTCTGCCAAATATGCCGTGAGGGGATTCAAGCGGCTCCCCGAGTCGGCATCGAAGACATTTATTTTCACTGGAAATAAGTTGAACACTTTTATTTCGCCGGCGGTCACGACGTTTGCGATGGGAAAGACTGCTATTGCTCAGTTGATACGTAACGCAAGCGTTGCGTATCGGAAACAGGGGATCAAGTAGGGCTCAGTGCTATCGTCTGCCACAGAGGACGCTAATGGGAAAATAGATTCTATTATGCAGATGAGCGTCGACCTGATGGCGGCCCAGTGGTTCCAGTGAGTGGATCGGCTGCTGCTGTGGCTTATACGAAGCTTGCTGAAGAGAAGGAACAAGGTCCTTGGGACTACACATTTATTGATGGGATTGGGTACCACGACTTTAAAGAGACTGCGGCCTAGCGAACTGCCATATAAAGAAATTGATTTCAGTTCTCTATCTTAAGCAGCTTTGAAATCAATTTTCCTTCAGTCGTGTCAGCTCTCTGCAATTTCGAGACGTTTTGTAATCAAGCAGTGAGCTCGAATGGTGTAGGAGCTTCTTGTAGTTCAAATCCCTTGTGTGGAGGACGCCAGGCTTGGCACATGCTTATTTCATCTTGTTACCGTCAACAGAGCCAGACACTATGCTTCCGTTTACCAGTATCGTATGCTCAACTGACGGTGTGAAGAGCGGGAGAGTTTCGTGACGGTACTGCGCTTGGGAAACAATACCTCTTCGCCGCCTCTGATGTAACAAGGTGGCTGGAGCCACGAAACGCACTCTTCGGCGTGAGCTGCACGACCATTTCGGATAGCGACACAAATCAAACGGAGTAGTTTACATACATGTCCAGCTTTTTGGTGCTGACGGAAAGTATCATCGTAAGTATTAGTCGCTTTTCGCAGCCGCGCAGCAAACAAAGCAGCTGAATTTCATGAGATCTTGCTTGATTCAATCCGCACTTTAGGTTCTAACCTACACAAATCCTTGCAGGCGACCAACAAAAGCCTCAGTTTGCCCATAAGAGCGAGGAATCTACCGCGCAGTGACAAACACTCCTTTTTCTCTCCCATGAGATCGCCTGAGGAAGAGATTGTGATATTCAAGAGGACTGTACAATGCTGCCGGAAGCCTGAGTTGGGGCTTTCGCAGTTGAGCAGTTCCATGACGCATGAGGCAGGCCATGGACTTTTCGGGAATTTGAATCCATCTACAATTGAAAGAGCAAGGCGCTGCAAATGCGAAGACGCTCCTTCCCGTCCTTTTTTTTTTTTTTCTCTCGGAATCAAACTGTAATCATCGCAACTCAAGGCTCCGGTAAAAACTTTGCACAATGGACGTAGACAAAACCGCCTTTCCTGCAAGGCTCCTCGAGATCCTGGAGGCTCTTTCGAATGCCGATTTTGTCTCTATCGATTTTGAGTTTTCCGGTATTGCCACCAAGCCGACGATTCGACAGAAGCAAAGCATTCAAGAGCGTTATGTGGAAACCAAACAAGCAGCAGAGAAATATCAAATACTTCAGGTCGGACTCACCTGCGCCATTCTTGACAGGAAGAAGGAGACTTATATCCTACAACCTTATAACCTACCAATCAGTCCAGTCTTCGATGAAGATCTAGATTTGGAGAGACAGTTCTCCTTCCAAAGCGGTGCAGTAGAGTTCTTGCTCAGGAACGGGTTTAACTTCAACTTGACCTTCGAGAACGGAGTTCCCTACTTGTCACGAGATGAAGAGCATGAAGCTAAGGAAAAATTCACGGCAAGAGATGACAAGAATCGATTTGAAGATATTTTGATTGCGGAAAGCGACACATTGACTCTGAAGTTTTTGGAGAAAGTTAGATGTGAGGTTCACGAGTGGTTGACTCGGAAGAAGGAGGACAGCCTGGAGATTGTGAGTTGTCGTAGCACGTAGTAGAGCCTCTATCTGACAACTCTCACAGCGATCGCGCACACTTCATTGGAGGGAGAATTGCGACGCAATAGGTGACCTTACAAGCTTTGACAAGCGTTTAATTCATCAATTGATTCGTAATGAATTTCCCTCGCTGGTCACCATTTCGCGGCGTCAGTCCGTCGTCATCAAAGCCTTGGACGAAGGTCGCGAACACCAAATCCGTAAAGAAAAATACAGGCGACTGAAAAAAAAGATCTACTCTCAAACCGGATTTCGATGGATCATCGAGGCGCTGACAGGTGGATCACTTGCGAACATCGACCTTATGTGGTTTGCCCAGGATCCGGAGACCGGGGCACCGCGGTATTACGATAGCACAGTGCTCGAGGCACGATTCCAACGCGCAAGCGAAAAGCTCAAGAGAAAAAGACCTGTGCTTGTTGGGCACAACTGTTTCACGGACCTTATCTACCTCTATTCGAATTTTCTCGGTAGGCTGCCCGACGACGTCTCTGAATTTCAACAGCGAATACATGAGCTCTTCCCATTCGTGGTGGACACCAAATATATGTTCACTCACAACTGTGGAAATATGAATCCAGCATCTAGCCTAGACTCCATCGAGGAATCATTACGAGTGCAGCAGAAACCTAGGATCAAGACGCATAAAGAGCATAGAAGATACGAGACGGATAAGATGCACCATGAAGCAGGATACGATTCCTATTTGACCGCAAAGGTGGCGATCTTGCTGAGCACGAAACTGGAAGCGCAAGGAATGTATGTGCTTGAAGAAAACTATGGGAACAACTCGCAACCAGTGACTCCTGATGGTAAACAAAAGCTGGATAGCCGTCCAACAGCTTCGCCACAAGCACAGGTGATCAGTGGCAAGGTCGCAGATGTCTCAAAAAACACAAAGCACATTACACCGTCGCCACGTAAAAAGGTCTCGCCCCAGGTGAAAAGTCGATTTGCAACAAAAACCCTTTTCGAAGCTCTTGCCTCCGTCCCAGCATCGGACAACGAGACAGAGGAGGACGAGAGTGCTGCTGTTGGTCCTAGATTCATTTTCAACCCCAACGCGCCTCCGTTTCCCATACCAGCCTCTGACAGAGCAGTTGAAGCGAGAAGCAGCAAAGACATAAATGAAACGGCTACGAAAGAAGAACTCAAGCTGGACGCATTAATGCCACCATTTCATAGCGATTTCTGGGGTGTGTACTCAAACAAGCTGAGGGTGTTCGGAACGGTGGAAGGTCTGCTGGACTTGGACCCAACGAGGCAACAATGCGTTTCTTGACCTTGACGGTCTTGTATCATCTTGAATTAAGGCGATGGCTCTCAGGTATTCTTTACGTAGTTCGAGAGATAGATAAATAGTGTAGCAGCATTTCTAATGATTCATCAGCACTGGAATGCAATACCGCTCTTCTCGACAATATTCTTCCCGCCTCCTGCGAACCCAGTGCCTTCGCTTTTCAGTTCGACAAGGCCTCTCTTTATGTACTCATTTTCAACATCCCTCTTCTTCTTTTTGGCCTTCTTGCCAGTCTCGCTATCCTCTTTATTCGGTTTGCTCTGCTCATCTTCAGTCGTCAAGTTGGTCTCACAGACGTAGCACCTGATGACTCCATGCTCCATTCCGGGGTTATGCGGATCGGGAGTCATGACCGGCTTCATGAACTTTTCCACACAGGATTTGCAGAGCACATGTCCGCATGGTATGGCCATGACACCCTTTGAAACATTTGTGAGCGCCTTTCGACAAGCGGGACAGGACCGAAGAGTTTTCCCCGTCTCCGAAGACTTCTCTTCCGTGAATTTTATCGCCGTAAGAGTTTTCAAAGAGATGTTGTGCGGGGCTTTCTCCGAGCTTGACGGACACAGCGTGTTGAGCTTGGGTGGTTTCTCCGGTATCGATAGCTTTCCGGCTCCGCCATCTGGGGTTTGCGACGGTGCCCAGAAGGAAGGCAGGTGTTTCAGTGCTGCTTTTCTCTCTTCATCCATTTCCTTGCGCACTTTCTTCCTCTCTTCTGCGGCGATGCGCATAAGCTCCTCCTCGTCTAGCTCGAACTTTCGCTTCGTGTCGCCGCCTTGTATACGATCTTCCAGCCATTGTTCAGCCTTCTGCTCCGTACTCTTGCCATTTCCCAAGCCGGCCTGTACTCTTTCGAACTCAGCAAGCTCTCGTGCTCTCACTTCGGCTTCCTCGAGTTCTTCGCTCTCCAATTCCTCTTTCCGTCGCCGCTCCCATTCCTTCTCCAGTCTCTTTATTTCCGCACGCTGCGCCACTAAGTTGTTTAGTGCACACTCGCGGCAGAATATATCTCCATTGGGGCAAGCGACGGGGTCAACGGCATTAAGCAGACACAGCGAGCACGAGCCGAAAGGCAAGAAATGGTCGCGGGACAAGATCTGGGACTGCGAGCCCCACGCAGTTTTCAGAAGGGAGCGCTCGTATGAGGTGAAGAAAGCGAGCGCGGTGTTGCGCTTGCTATGCGACGGCATGGCCGCGGGACTCAGGAAACGAAGCCAGCTACACTTTGCTTGACGAAAGCGTCATCAGATGGGCCAAAATTGAGCTCGAACGTCGCCATAGTTCTACACTAGGCTTGCCCTGGAAAGGGCACAACTGCGGCCTCCCGTCCGGAGTCTGACCCCGGACCGTCTTTCCCCAAGATTTTCTTCGGTCTGTAACACGTGCTTTCACGAGGGGTCTTTAAGGGCTTCAGCTGTCTGATTACCATCTTTTACCTCTTTTCCCACCCCTCATTCATTTTTCCTGTCCATTCTTTTGATAATTTGATGATGCGCACTCCTTTTCTTGGCTTATGTCGACGGTAGAAGACAAACTTACATGCCCTAGCCTCCGATGGCGGGCCGGCTCGACGGCGACGTTATGGTTTACGGGTAGCCTGGCCAAGTTGTTCTTGAAGCTCGGGGCAAGAACGGAGGTTCATGGCCTTGATGAATTTGTTAAGCTGCTTGATGAGAGAATGGACATAGAGAAGCGGACTAGTGGTTTATTGACCGGTATGGCCCCAGGAAATTGTGTTGCTTCCAGAATTATGGCTCATGCTGGATTAGTTTCAAATCATCTTTCGGTGTATGTGCCGTAGCTCCTGGGATTTGCCAATCCACTGATGCCATTCAAGTGTCGATGATCCAATGATTTGGGGCTTACTACCATATCGACATTTGCGCCCAGACAATATTAGGTGGTCCCTTGGAAGCTACGACATTTGTTTCAAGAATGGGTATTTATTATCTTAAGAAGTTGAACACCTCCCTGACTATGGCTGACTGGATTGAAAAGATCGTACAGCATCCTATCACAATATTTCTCTCTTGGCCAAACATTACCAACACATCGAAAAAATCACTCAAAGTATGGTGGAATATTTCAGCCAACGATTACGCAATGTATCCGTCTGCTGTCCGCGGGCCCATTCACGCAACCTACGCCTCCACACGACCAGTGGGAGTTACGGTCAAGCTCGACCAAGGGTGTCCATAACCTCCCAGATCCCTTTACAGATCCCACCTTTACATATAGCACCACTGGAACAGACATCTACCCAGCTCCATCGGCTTACGGGACTAGACGACATGCATGGATTCACATCTTTCCGGAAGGCAGAGTGCACCAACATCCTGATCGTACGATGCGGTACTTCAAGTGGGGGGTCGCGCGCTTGATTTTAGAAAGCGAACCATGTCCCACCGTTGTGCCAATCTGGCACGAAGGCGCTGACGAAATCATGCACGAGGAGCGAGGATTCCCACGTTTTCTTCCTCGTCTGAATAAAAAGGTCGAGGTCGTATTTGGTGAGCCTGTTAGCGAGACCGTCTGGAGAGGCGTTCGTGAGCGGTGGCGGAAATTGAAGGAAAGGGAGGTGCAGAGGGATCACGTGTGTCAAGGAGAGGAATTCGAGTATCTGAACGATGAGCTGAGGTACGGACGGGAGGCGAGAGAGTTGAGAATGGAGGTTGCTTTCAAGGTCAGGCAGGAGCTGCTTAAATTACCACGGGCGCGGGGAAAGGCTGAGGAAGATCCGAAGGCGGGAATGTGGGACACGTATAGGGAAGAAGGTAGGAGGAGAGAGGGGAAGATGGATGACGACAGCTGGGTCAAGGATATGTAAGATACGCTCCGCGTTATTGGTCTCATGATCCGCAACATTTGCGATTTGTGTGCGACTTGATGGTTGGACCACTGTATTTAATCACTTGAACAATGGCCTAGCATGTACAAAGCTACATTTTCGCAATCGTCAATCGTGGTCTAACTTCGCATAAGTCGCTTTCGAATATGAAAATTAAAGAATCTTTTCTGTCAGGCTCTAGTCCTCAAGATAGATGTCGAAATCGTGAAGCTGGACACGCAAATTCTCAAAGGAAAATGCGCTCATTTTTCATGATTTGAGCGGCCGATATTGAGTAATTTTAGTCCTCAGTAGGCTCGCGGATTGAGGACACGAGTATCTTTGTGGTGGGTTGGCTTTCTTTGTGTGAATCTTCTTTGCCCGGTCGAAGATCTTCATGCGCCTTCTCATCACAATACTGTGTCGGTCTGTCGCTTTCATCCTGCATTCATTCCTCCTGTTGCTAAGATCAAAATCTCGCTTCGCCAAGTTGAACGGTTTGTGATAGTTCTAGGCCGCGTGCGGAGCATGCTTGCTGGCGATCTTTGAGCAAATAGCAACAAATTACCTAAAACATCTACTTTACCGTATTAACGTCGTGAGGAAAATTCTCTAGAATGCTTCTTCTAAACAGAGAAGACATTTTTGTCTTAAGTCTGTCCTCAGCAATTTAATTATATAGTTCTCCGTCGCTGCATGGTTCGGGTCTTATTTGGCTGTGACGTCGGAGGCTGAAAGCCTGATTTTCCCGCAACTTGGCAATGTTCGCCAGGTTCTCATGGATCTCGCTGTCAGCATCATCTTGCTGATTATCTTTACAGAGATAATCTCAGATCAGCATGAGCAGAATTTTGAACGCTATTCGCTCCTCCGAATCAGAAGTCAAGCCATCCGATGATCCAATCGCAAATAATATTCTTGACTCATTGCGCAAGACACGCTGGAAATTATCAAGAATCGAGCGGCTTTCCGGAAGTCATGGCAACTTCATCTATCGAGGATGGCTCAAGAGACCAGACAAAGACAGCTATGACACCATCGTAATCAAGCATGCTGAACCGTACGCTGCTTTTGATAATTCTCTCAAACTTGACGTAGAGCGATCAGTAAGAACGGGAGAAGTGTGCTGTTTTATAATTTCACTGATCCACGCCAGGTTTACGAGCGGATGATGATCGAATCTCTAGCAGATAAGAATACAACCAAGTATGACCGTTTTATCGTGAGAACACCAAGGTTTCTGTCAGCGGATCATTACCCCAACACGATACTTATGGAAGACTTGCCAGGATCACTTACCGTCAAGGAATACCTCTATAGATATGGGGAAACCATGCTGCCAGCTACTGCCAGAGAATTGGGAATTACTCTTGGCAAGTGGCTGAAGGAATATCATCTGTGGCTTAATGGTAATGACGAGAAAGCCATGCTCTTGAAGCAAAGAATAAAGGGAAATACCTCCATGATTAGTTCCAGAGAACAAATGTACATCGGCAGCTACAGGAATGCAATGAAGCAGTTCCCAACAGTGACTTGGCCTGGAAGTAGACATCTTGATCAAATAGAAGATGACATCAAGAAAATAAGTCGTGAAGGTGCATCGGGTATCCATGGCGATTTCTGGACAGGCAAGTAAGTAGAATTATGCCACATACATCATGGATTGCACTAAATGAGCCAAGTATGATCCTGAAAGATAAACCTCTAGCTTCTCAAGATGGCAAAACCCTCTACCCCACGAAGATCCTCATCCTCGATTTTGAGGCCTCTCAACCCGGCTCACGCCCGCAAGATCTTGCACAATGTCTTGCGGAGCTGTATATGGAACATCACTTTTACGGCGCATCTGCGCCTCTGCAAATCATGCAAGGTCTCATTCATGGATACTTCAGCCCAACGGAAATTCCCGATAAATACGATCGAACAAAAAGCACGGTAGACCCAGCAAGTATATGGTCCGAGAAAGATCGCTTGAACTTTGCACTAAATACTGCTATGCACTTCGGAATCCATCTTGTTGTGGTTCCAAACCGAGCTGGATGGCCGAAGGGAGAGAAGATGGTAGCTTGTGCCCGGTTGGGGAACGACTATTTGCTTAATGGACATAACGCAGATTGTCCTCGATTCAAGAATGGACCGCTCCACGATCTTTTCCCCTCGTTCCCACCCCCACCAAAGGTCAACCGGATGGAGGTAGTTAAGAGACAAAAGAAGAAGTCGAAACTTAAGGCATTATTCTGCGGTTGTTTTGGTGAATAAGATGTCTCCACGACGCTTTCAAAAATTTTTGTCCGAGCTGGCAATGTGATTCTGACACCTCAAATTGCGCGAGAAAGATATTATTTGGCGTGTAGATGATGGTCGAAGGTGCGACTACGTTCACAGCACAGCAACTACAATATGTTGAATATTCTCAGACATTAGAAAGCCGTCCTCCCCCCTTAGTCGTGTCAGCTCATCCATCCAGGAAGCTTTGACCTTCTCAAATCTGTCTTTTGGGAGCTCATCAATCCCAAATGAAAGCCACTTGTGCACTTCCACCAAATTCTTCCACATTTCTTCCATCTTTGGTAAAGTACTAACATCCCACTTAGGACGGGTTGAGGACAAATCAAAATCCATGATGGTCTTTACCTCGAACCCAGTCCCTTCGAATAAGTGCTGAAGGCAAGTCTCTGAACTATTCAAACATGAAAAATCCAGTGGAGGCTTGAATCCCTGCTCCTTCACCGCTTCAAGGAAGATTTTTGCTGGGAGATTACCACTTTGCTGGTCCGCAACGAATATTCCACCAGGTTTCAAGAACTCGCTTGCGACGGTTCGGACCACTGCGTTGGGATCGGGGAACATCGCGATCGCAGAGGCGCATGTAACCGTGTCAAAACTATTCTTCTCAAAGCCTTCTGGTAGGTGCAGGTTCATAACATCCTGCTGCTCGAACTGGACAATATCCTGGACACTAAGCTGTTCTGCTTTGGTCATCGCGAGACTCAGAAATTGGTCTGATATGTCGATTCCTAAAACCCTGCCGGATTTGCCGACCATAGCTGCGGCTTTGAGTGCAACATTTCCAGTGCCGGTTGCCAGATCTAGAACGTGTTGACCCTTCCTGATACACGTGATTTCCACTATGTTTTCAGCGGCCCTTTCGTGAAACGAGTGTGTCATTGTGTCGTATTTCGCGCCCAAGTTATTATAGAATGATTGAACGACGCTGACATAGTTTGTTGAAGGAGAAGACATCTTTGCCGATAGTAATCGAATTCGCGATTAAAAAATTTTACTCGCTCATATCAAACTATGAATGACTTTATATATTGCCTGCAAGACTCATTTATTCAGAGAGTAATTAGTATAGTGTTGAATATTTCAAAAACTCTCCGTGGATTTGTTACATCCCGGAGACTTTACCAAAAAAAAAAGCTTTGTTTCGGCAATTTTTCATTAGAACTGAATTCATTCAATGACCAAAAGTCTCAATATTTGCACATCCATAAGTTTTCTGCCGCAACCTTTTATCGGACACTGGTAATTTCGGGTTGAACTTATCGAGACGCTTCCTGCACATATGCGCAACATCTTCAACTTGGTATTATCCGGCGTCTGTTGAGATTATTCATGAGCTCAACATCATGGAACTTCCACTTCTCGTTGTACATGTAAAACTAGGCCAAGGCGATTGTCGCTATGGCTTCGGTGCATCATCCAACCATCGCCTTTGACCGTAGGGTATCATGCACGTCTCAAGCCAAGATAGCCATTGTGAATGCTGCCGGACAATTCACCGAATAGCCAGATTAGAGTGATTATGAGCTCAGAGGAAGCTGACCAGAAATGTAAGGGGATGCAGCATGCCACATGCCACATTGCATGATTATGTTCGAGCAGCAAGAGAGCGCTAAACAGGTGGTCACTCCAAACGTTTTACAAAATCTTGAAACATTAATTGACACTAGGGAAGACATCCAAGCTTTCGTGCTAAAGTTTTTCGATTTGAACACGTTTCCGAGATGAAGATTGGCTCGAGCTATTTCTTTGCAGATGAAGAAAGATCGGATCAACTGCAGATGATTATCAAGATTATATCTTCATTTATCTTCCGGAATCGCATTTTGCAAGCACCGACAGGAAATTAGCCAGGATGGTCACCAGCCACCCAATGGTTGCCTGAAGATGGCAATAGAACTAGACCACGCGTCTGGAAACACAAGGAGCGGAGCGGAGCGGAGCGGAACTTAAATATTCAACCTCGTCGACTTTAACGTTGAAAACGCAAATCTGTTCATTCTTTATATATATTACATTAACACTCAGGTAGAAAAATATGGTGATGAATATGCGAGCCATTACATCACGACAGCTTCGCGACAGGTGGTAGGTTGATTGTTGAACTCGAGCTGTTATCCACCAGACCTTTTTCATCCAGCTGCACCTTTATGTCTTTTGTATCAGTTTCCTTAAACGCGGCAGGAGGTTGATCTTCTGCCAAAAGCACTGGAGATGGTCGCTGAGGAAGATTTTCTTCGTTAACTTGAACATACGAGGTTCTGGGAGCGGGCTTTCTTTTGCCAAGGACACCTCTGACTTTTGCTCCAAGGCCCGCAATCGAAAGGGACGGCTGCCAGTAGAGGAACAATGACAATAGGATGGCAGCTGCAGCAACTAGAAAATATAGCGGGTTTTGGAATATTCGGTAAAGGAAGAAGCCGAGTCCGGTGAACACAGCCGAATACCAGATGACTAAATGGCCGACATGAAAAGAGCGTTGCAGAAATGATTGACCTCGTTTACGTTCAGAGGATGATCGCGCTGAAGTTCCCCAGCCAGTTTGATTCATGGTGAATAGGGCCCATATTTTGGACGGCAGGAGCCCGAAGAAATAAACGAAACCATAGAAGCTGAAGAGGAGCAGCCAAGGATCGTGACTCATCAGCATTGCTAATGAGGATTTGAAGAAGGCGATGGCGAACATGGTACCAAGCCATATCAGAGGGCGCCAGTCGTTGTTCGAAGACTCGAAGAGAAAGTGGAAGCAAGTGGCAATCAGGATGAATGGATACAGCGTCTGTATGGTTGTTTCGACCAGCATCCACGGCGCTTGGTAGACAAAGCTTGCTGGGAACCAGAACGTCTCTCGGAAGAAGGACTTGCTCCATCGCGTCTGTTGAGTAACCCATCGATTGAAAGCTGTTGGAGACTCGCTATCACACCACGTTCGATGAGTGTAACGGGTGTTGAGACCGTGAGCCAGCAGCTGGTTTGTTAAGTGTCGATCATCGCCGAATGTCGTTGCTTTTCCTCCAAATGTCTGTAAGTTCCACGGACCAAGGATCGTCTCCAGATCGGAGGCACGGTACATGCTCATCGGACCAGAGAGACAACCAACACAGCGCCACAATGACTGGCAAGCCCGCTCGATATTGAAAGCAAACCAGTACCGCGCCGAGCAAAGCCGCGCGAGCAAGTTCTCGGACCGGTTCCAAATCTTTACATCCGCGGTTACGCCACCTAGCTGTGCCTCAGAACGCAGCAAAGTCAACATTTCATCCAAAGCGTTGTCCTGGACAAGAGTATCTGAGTCCGTTGTAAAAATGGAATCTCGCGTTCGCAAGGCGTACAAGCTCATAGCGAACGCCGTGAACATTGCGGTACGCTTATGGCCATGTGGTTGACTAAAGCACACGGCGTCAAGGCTACTGATATTCCATTCGTCGTTCCATCGCAATATCTGTTCAATGACCACCTGCCTAGCAATCGACAATGCCATCGCATGACCTGGTCTATGACCACCGGTGAGCCAATGCCAAATTTTGCGGAACATTGACCGCTTATCTGCAGGCAAATTCTTGAAGTAAGTGTCTCGATGCAGATCCGAGAGTAGGATAGGCAAGTGAATGAGTGGAGCATTCAACCCTTTGAATTCATCGACAAAAGCACGAGCCATGTCTAAGTCAGGCTCTTCATTACCATCCACAACACCCACAACGCACTTCGGGTGAAGTGTTTGCGTTTGCAAGCTCCGAAGACATTGCCGCCATGCCTGTTCGTCCTCGCGGTAGCCAACAACAGCAATTGAGACATCACCATCGGGGTTCAGAAGCTTAGCAGTTGGTGTAGTCTTCGTGCCCTTTTCGCAGTCGCCAGCTAGGCTTGCATTTATACGTTTTCTCGTCAGGTTATCGGTGATACGATTGACTTGAATTCGGTTACCGATTGCGCAGGAGAACTGTATGATATATTCCGAGATCAGGATTGCGCCGTAAAGGCCGATGGAGGTGATTCCAAAGTCATAAAGTTGAAGCCCTATGGCATAGCCAGTCAAGAGCGCGGCAATGAGTCCAAAGGCCAGAATAATGTTGAAGACGGCCTTGATAATATTGACTTTCAGAGGTTTCCGCGTCGGGATGTCAAAGACTTTGTTAGAATCAAAGTGGAAAGCTTTGCAGCGAATCGATGCAGAATCCGAGAAACTTGACTCCCACATTGTGTTTCGTCCAGACGAACACTGGCTCGAAGTCATGCTTTTGCATGCCTCAAAAATTTCGACAGACATGACGAAGAAATCTTGGAAACGTATAAAGAGTGTTGGTGCATGTGAGAAATTTTGACTTCGAGACTGTATTTGAAAAGAGAACACTCGGGAGCGGCTGGATGCTATCACACCATCAGTCCTCAAAACATTCTAATCATGTCAAATTTGCATACGCATTTCCTCGCTAATGCTCCAACCCTTAGCCGCAGAGTTAGCTCAGGTGTTCCAGCCCCTAGAGAGGTCAAATTATTGCGCATGTCACTTTTACAAGCGGCTAGATTGCACACGAACGACTCAGCTTGCTATTTTTGCTGCTGCTATTGGCGTGTGCGTATTTTAGAAAGCTTTGGTCTACATTTCCTCAACCCACCCGACGTTCTGGAGCTGAGATGGAGATCCAGGCACCATGCAGGGATACTCTGGAGCCGGTTTTGTGCAGGACGGACACGCCACTGTACTTCCTGAGCATTTTTCGCTTATTTATTCTTGATCAGGTATTCCTCGCCATCTTTAGATCGAACGTTGGACCGGAGCTGCCGTTCAATTTTGGATTCTTGTCGAAAATGCCGAGCTTGCTAGCTTTTCATGAATTTGGTAGGTTTCAGCTCGGCCAAAAGCTGTTCATACGAGCCTTTGAATCAGCGTAGAATCAGCTAACTTGATTGAATTCAATACAGGCTCTAGCACACTGTTTACTTTTGTTGGAAAGTCGATACCTAGTCACTCTGGACAATGCTATAATCTAGCAGCTATGAAAATATTTATCAAAATTGAGGATTACTGGACATCAAGTTGGTGTCCTCTTTCTCAAGAAATATGTAATGTTTCCACATCCTAGATTTTCCAGTTCACTTTCTCTGTGCTTGATAACCAATATCACAACCATTTCAAACGAAACTGTCCAAACCAGCAGAAGAGAATTAAGACGAAGATCCAGCTTGAATTCATTGGGCTTACCATTTGAGCAGAGCTTGTAGATAATGCCTTGATAGTAGGAGTAGGAGTAGGGCTATTGGTACTTCCTCCACTGGACGAGGTTGCTGACTGAAGGACGCCGTCGCTGATCGTGCAAGATGTTTTTGTGGCTTTGCACGCAGGCGCCGCGGAGCTTGTGTCATTGTACACAGCCCAGAAAAGGGAGATAACATCCGTGCTATCTGATGTTGGTGGCCCCATGGAGTAGTTGGGATTGCCATCAGACCAATGGCTTATTGAAACAGATCCAGGATCTTGCGGTACATTGGTTGTGATGACTCTTGAGTACTCCCCGTCCAGGCCGTAATGAACAATGCCAGGAAGCCAGACAAAAGACCACGTGTGAAAGTTCTTACTGAAGGCGCCGGTGCCGTTCCACTGTTCCTTCTGGTATGTACCACTCAGTGGATTGCCACTCGCAGAGTAGAGCTGCGGTTTGACCGTGTAGAGCAGCGTTGGGTCAGTCCAGGCGCTTAGATATTCGATGTCAACTTCAGAGGTGTCATTCTTGTAGGTGAAGAAAGCCGAGACTGCCCCCGGAACATTTCCAACACGTGTTTGAACATGGTAGGCGCCATAGAAGAATGATTCATTCTTTGTTGTGACTTGCGCACAAGGTACGTTTCCAGCATTCAAGGGGCTGACCGTGAGGGCGAGTCCATCCTGGGAAAGATGGACTTGTTCCGGTGAGAAAGCTCTGTTGTAGGGTCCCCCTCGTAGGTTGAGAGTGTAAGAAGCAGGAATAAAGAGATCTTCAAAGGTCTGGTTCGTGATCGATGTGAAGTTAATGGCGAGGAAGTTTGAAAATGTGCTTTTCGTTGGATCTTTTGCGTCAACGAAACCGCAGTCGCAGTCTGGAAGGGTTGATGCCATGTCGAGATTCTTGAGGGTGATAGTGAAATAGTCTCACTTGGAGTTGTTCGAAAATGACAGAAGTAGAGAATGGAGAGATGATAGTTATCAAAGTCTCAGGAGGAAGCCCCCTGCTGAAAGCAAATCTGGAGAACACGCAATCAAATTGATTTGTAAAACAAAGCCCTCAATTTTTCACCTTCCCGCGATGCTGTTGTAAGACAGCCCAGATTGCGAGAGAGCCTACCGAACCTTGCATACGGTCGCTCTATGTTTACCGCCGTTCGACAACCGTGCCTCCGCCTGAATAGTCTAGACCCGGAGATCCCCTGATGAGCTGGTGGAATGGCTGAGCTGCAGAATTAATTTAGCATCACAACTAGACGATTGATATGGCTTGTGCTGAAAGGCTGAAAAAAGCGAGATGGTTTGCCAGGCATCAAAGCAGCCTCTGGAAGATTTTTAGTTGAGGCATAAGGAAGGACAACGAATTGTGCATGTAGAATCATCCATGAGACCAACTGTCGCACTAGCATGTATGGAAATTTTCTGCTGAGGTTTTCTATTGTCCATGTACTTCTTGACTGGTGTCTCGAACTGCTTTTGACCTGGAAATCTACGACGGCGCGACAAGCAATGTTCTTGGGCTACTGAAGCAGCTCAAACCTCAAGCAGAAATCGCGGATGATTGAGAGCTTTCGACCATCTCAAAAAAGAAAGGGCAAAATGCTCGTTCCTGAAAACCCATGCACGCACGCGACAGCTTTTGCATCGTACGTGTATCAGCTCCGGCACACTATTCCTTCGCATGCAGCGGTGATAGGTTCAGGTAAATTCCGCTAGCAGTTCAGGTGCCAAAGGCATCGAGCTTTTCCCCGGCAATATTTTCGCGATGCAGCTCTGGACTTGGTCGTCATTCCGTGATCCCTGATCCTCGGATGCTACGATGTCTAAGAATGTTACGTTGAGAACTATCCCTTAGGCATGTGGCCCGTGACCTTATTATGGGGCTTTGATATGGAGACACTAGTCTTAGCACTGTTACCGGCTTCTGTGGCCGAAGTGCTTGTTCCGACAACCCGCCGTTAGGACAAAGCTTGGCGCTAGGCGGATTACAGATGATGTGAGGCCAAAACCCCCTTAAACTGGCTTTGACGGTTGCGATCTTTCGAATCTAATGGAGCTCAGTGTGCGATTTGCGTCCTCAACTAGAAACACTGTAAACAAGTTCGTCGTCCTTCGTTCATGAGCTAAATTTACGCACATGTATTGATTCCCTCGGCCAAGGCAGAACACATCACAAAATCCTTTGAGCCAACTGTCGGAGAATGCGAGCGAAGACCACGAGGGTGCTATTGAGGGTCTGTTCGTTAGGAAGTTCTGTGCACAGAGTCATTGCATGGCTGACGTGTCGAGAATTAGTATTCCCCACGATCAGGCTTTGATGGGATGTGGCGATTTGGATCCTCAGATTGCGGGGTATGATTGGCCAGCTCGTATGCCAGGTTGTCATAAAGAGATAAGATTCACACGCCACACGCCAAAGAACCTTCATCGACATCAGCTCTCCTGACATGGGAAACTGGAGAGACCCATGACAGGTTCGCGTAACTAGCATGAAAACGGAGATAAGATCGAAGATTTTTCATCATCTGGACCTGCATGCCACCATTTTTATCATTCGTGTGCTTGCCAAATTCCCATTTAGGTGCGCGACCAGCATTGTGGCAAGCGACTCTGATTCTCTAGAAGAAAACTGAGCGTTCGATAGCACTGTAATCTACCCCCTAATGCTTCGTTTTACCCTGCATATGTAACAGTGAAAGGCCAAGTTGTCCGCGCGGAGGATCTAGATCTTGTCAAGGCTTGCCAAGCTTCCGAAGCTCTTCTAGCTGAACACAGGTTACTAGCTATTAACCTGAACTTTAATAACGATGTAATGCTATTTGGTAAGTCCATGTCTCCCCATGCTGGACGTCATCAATTTCAGCTTGGACGGCTCAAAATTGTTTTGTATTGCCTCAACGCACCGTTAACCCATCTTTTTTGGTGGACCGCTGAAGTGGCAATATGTAGAGGCAGCTGAAACTTTGACCAAACCTGTACTGCTGGTGACGAAGGCCATCGAACACGATTTTTACATACTTTCCGAGCTGTAACTATCGCTTTACAGCCGAAACGACCTATTTTCACATATTCCTGCTTGATGCTGTGGTTGATGAATCTCGCTTCTGACGCCACCAGAAGACTTTTCGACTCATTGCTTCGCATTTCCCCGTGTAAACGAAGCGCTAAAGCTCTCCTTGATGTTTTGAGTCATCCGAAATTGACGGGAAAAACTAAATCTTAGCTTCACAAAGATGTGAGCGGCTGACGTTTCATCAGAATCGTGATAGCCAAGCGGCAAACCCCCGGCTGAACGATCAACACCGAAACCAATATCCACGGCTGAGATCTAGAACGCTCGGACTTTGATCGAACGACTGCTTTTTCTGCCTAGTCGAACTCAAGAGGTACTAATTTCAGCTGAAGATGAGAAGCATGAGTAGCGTCAAAGTACAGCAAGCCGATTTGCTGGATATGTGGCCGAAATGCAGAAGAAAAGGCCAAATTCCCGGCTTGAATCGGCGTTAGAAAGACGAATACTTCTGGCAACACGGCCCTCCTTCCGCGAATTGTGAAGCCCATGTCAATAGTCTCTTAAGAAAAATTTCCGCCTTTTCCCTCTTTTATTCCAATAAATCTGGGTGTGAGGAAAACGATCACTCATAGCGGTGCCAACCTAGTCAATGAACATTATGTCGCTGTCAATGCAATACTCGACCATGAGCACACCAATTGAGGAGCATGATGCATCCATATTTTCAATTCCGACAAGTCCAACAAGTAGCTCAAGAAGCACAAGCCCGGAATGGCCATTTGTTGCAGAGAGTCTGAAGCTTGCAATGGCTGTAACGAATGTTTGCATAGTTGGTGCAGGTTATGTTGGTACGTGTGTTTCCAAATCTGACTGAATGATCTCCCGCTGACGATCAATGACAGGAGGCCCAACGGCAGCAATCCTGGCTTTGAAGAATCCCCATATTCAGGTCAATGTTGTTGATAAAGATACTGCTCGTATCGCGCAATGGAACTCGAAGCATCTTCCTGTATACGAACCAGGCTTGAACGAAATTGTTTGTATAGCCCGAGACGGATATCAGGATGGTTGCCGATCCCCTAATCTCAAATTCTCTACCATGGTAGAATCATGCATCAACGATGCTGATATAGTCTTTATTGCGGTTAATACGCCAACCAAAGTATGCGGCATTGGAGCAGGTGCCGCGACAAATCTCGCAGCATTCGAAAGAGCGGCTATCACTATTGCTCAGAACCTCAAGCCTGGCGCAATTGTTGTTGAGAAAAGCACAGTGCCGTGCGGAACTGCACAGACTGTCCAAGAAATTGTAAGTCTTTGCCCCTTTATCGAAAGGCTCTAGGCAGTTGACAACGATCAAGCTCTCGATGTATCGACCCGGAGAAAGTTTCGAAGTGCTGTCGAACCCAGAATTTCTGGCGGAAGGAACAGCAGTAAAAGATCTTCTTGACCCAGATCGTGTTTTAATTGGATCGTCGTCGACTAAAGAAGGTCAAAAGGCTGCAAAGATGCTGCGTAGTTTGTACGAATCGTTCGTTCCGCCTTCGAAGATTCTCACTGTGAATACTTGGTCGTCCGAGCTAGCTAAACTTGTGGCGAATGCCATGCTTGCCCAAAGAATCAGTAGCATCAATTCGATCAGTGCCATTTGCGAGCAGACTGGTGCAGATATTGACGAAATATCTGAGGCTATTGGACGCGACACGCGACTTGGGCCAAAATTCCTCAAAGCAGGTGTCGGTTTCGGCGGAAGTTGCTTCAAAAAGGATATTCTGAGTTTAGTTGTACGTCGAGATTTCCCATTCTAATTAAACATTGAAGTATTTGGCTAATAAAGTCGTAGTATTTAGCGCGGTCCCTACACTTGCCGGAAGTGGCGGACTACTGGATGGCAGTACTAGCCATCAACGACTTCCAGGTCGATCGATTCACTGGTCGTGTCGTGAATAAGCTGCATGGAGCCTTGGTTGGAAAAAAGATTACGGTCCTAGGATTCGCCTTCAAGCAGGATACCAATGACACGAGGGAGTCGCCAGCAATCAATGTGGTAGAGGCTCTACTAGATGAAAGACCTGCTGAAATCGCCATATTTGATCCAGGGTGCACACCGTCTGAGATCGAATCTGCCATAAAGTCTCAAGGATCCATAGAGAGAACAAGCATACTGTCTCCAAATGGGCCGGTCAAGCCTTACATAAATGCGTACGAGGCATGCCAAGACTCAAGTGCAATTCTCATTCTCACGCCTTGGCCCCAGTTTCAGTATCCTCCAGCATCGGTGTCCGAGAAGATCGTGCATCCAATCCAAGCCAACGCGCCGTCTCAAAAGCGATCACAAAATACGACCTGCTCCGCAGATTGCGCTCTTTGTGCTAAGTTAACGCCCAAACAGGCGGAGACCGCACGAGAGTGTCTTGACTGGTCCATCGTGTGCGAAACGATGCGAGCACCGAAATGGGTCTTCGACGGGAGAAATATTGTACATAAAGAAGCTATGCTGAAGTTGGGTTTTCGGGTAGAGAATATGGGAAGGGCTTAATCAAGGAGGAAAACTGATGGATATGATACACGGACATCTCACGATGAACATTAATTAGTTCGCTAATTTTTTTTTTGATAATGCCAACAATTTTGATAGAAATAGTATGAGAAAAATTACTTCAGCAGACTACAAGAGATATCTGTAGACATAAAAGGACTTTAAAATTTACCAAAGTGGCGCATGTTGGCCGTGAAGACATCAACCGTAACGGCAAGACCAAGCAATGGGAATGGAATACATGCACATCGAGTTATTTCCCTGCTGCGGTTATGTAAAGAGATATCAAGTCAGATGAACTGTGAGGACCGCACTATCGCACGGTCAGAAGTGAGCAGAAATCCTTGGGAGCGCTAGTGCTGTTGTTGGAACTTATGCAACTTGAGTCGAGCATATCTTTCAGAGCGAGGAGAGACTTGGGTATCCACAAGCCATGTGAGTATCACCATGAGAGATTGGGCACCTTGAGAAAGCTTTCCAGTGTGGTATGAGGTTTGACAATTGCCAAATACGATATTGTGGCAGAATATTCCTTGAGACACTGGTCTAAGGATCACTGAACACGGCCGAGACAATCTCATGGGCATAGAATGTTTTGGTGCCGGTAGGAGCAGGCATTTTAGTAGGAAGTACGAAGAAGCATTCTTAAATTGCTCAAATCGTTTCTTCACAAGTCTGAGCCCTTTGAGCGACGGTTATGGCGTGCTTTTTCTTGTGAGCGGTCAATAGTAAATGGTTTCCAGCTTAGATGTTATGCGCAACCAGATTGGAAGAAAACAGGACGAGCGGAGCTTCGTGAGAGATTTTTGAGTTTTCTTGATACAAATCTCACCTGCCAGCTATATTTTCTGTGTATACCTGTGTATACATGCATAGTCTTGACTATGGGCCTGGCCCATTACCTTTCTAACAGTGTCGCTCCCCTCTTCTGCAACACCGATTCATCAAAACATCTCGTTCAAGGATTCGACGTGCGAAAGCAATATTTTGCGTGCTGAGCATATATCTGCATGGACGTGCTGTACCATGACACGGCTGATCTTACCTTCACCTGGAATGTGATGGGTTGAAATAGCTCTGTCTTAACCTGAAATGTTTTGCTCCCCAACTCTACAGTGCCGCGCATATCGAACTAAGATAGGCATATTGTGGGTTCTGATTACGAGGTTGCAAAAATCGCTACTATGAAAATTCAAGTTATTGTCAAAAGAAGCTTGAAATTCTGGAACTTGAGTTGTTGTAATTCGATGAAGACTCAAATGTTTAGACACGTTTTTGCTTGCAGCCATCTTAGGAAAATAATTTCCCAGAAAATTCTGTTTAATAAGTATATACGTGTAAGTGCTGCTATTTAAACCTCATACATTGTTGTAACAGTTGCTTCTTGGCACGCGAGTATGAAGAAGATGTCATGGAGCCTTGGAAGACTTGGTCACCTGCTCAGCCCTATGATCGTGTCACTAGCGCGACACACGCGTTGCCTCCGGTCACGTCAACCGGAAAGTTTGGGGTCCAAACCTTCAGCTCCGGGTCGTGACAGCTCGCCCCATATTTGCGATTACCGATTTTCTCGATGAACTGACTCGATTATGACACCGAAAACTGCTCGTGCAGATGTCGCAGCTATTCGAACGCCCAATGTGCAGGGGAAGGCCCTCGTGCACGAATTTCGTTGTCTGTACACATTCGACGTGCGCCGAAAGCAGAAAAGATGGCAAGATGGTCGAGCAAAATTTCATACGTTCAACAACAGAATCATGGTATATGACGACACTCAGAATTTTGTTGGAGACATTCATTGGAAAGATGGCAGCGGGCCTCAACCGGACGACGAATTCTCCTTAGAAGTAGGCGTACTCGTCCAGATCGGAGATCTGCTTTACACAACGCAGACTGATCTTGCACCATTGTTTATACGAGAGCGCAAAAAGCCCGAAAGTCATGGGGCCGAAGGAGCAGAGAACGCGGCAGCACTCAATATGGCTCTTGATCGGAAGGGCCATCTTTCCACGCAGAAGCACAAGAGCTTGCATGTCCTATTGAACTCCGCAAAGACGGGTTCCATAAAAGCTAAAATGTCTGGGCAATCACCTTATGACGCACGAAAGGCAGGTTTAGACGTTGAGTCTAGTGACGACCGCGGAAGGAAAAGACGAAGATTGGCGGTTAATAAGACGACGCATTTCATGAGCAAAACGAACGGGACCGGAGAACTGGCTCAGGAAGTTGAGAAATTGGCTTTCAAGACAAAGAACAATCCGTCATCTACTATTTCGCGCTCCACTGTTTGGGGCCGCGATAGCTCTCCTAAACGGACTTGTAATTCAATGGCGAATTCGACGAATATCAAACTTGGAGTTACAAGGGTAGAGTGCACTAGTGCGTGTTATCTGCCTCAAAACCGGTCACTAATGAGAACAATGATTTTGAATCATGTCGAAAGTGAATCGGCAGATAATCATACATCTGTTTCAGCCAAAGACTCACGCGCGGATAACGCTCCCTCTGGAGCGAAAAAAACTTTGTTGCGGCTTGGGAAGTCAAAGAAAACTTCGATGCTCATTTGCCAAAAATTAGATCATGAGGGAGGTGTGAGCATAGCATCCAGTAAACAACGACCTAATCTCTACCAAACCTTATCAGACTTGGAAGATGGGACAAGAGAGGATGAGCGATTGAAATCCAAGAGTGAAGAAATAATTCCATCAAACAGCAATTGTGAAACGTTGGTCGACATTATCGATGAATCATTAATACTGACCTCCACGTCCGGACTAGCTGTCAAGGACCTTTCGACACCAATTGAAGATCAGGTTAGATTCCAAAGCGGGTACCAGCCAACGGCTTGCTCTGAAAATCAGGGTACAAATGGTGGCAAAGCTTTGCTCGCTAATAGAGCACCCATAAACTATGCGCAGAAGAGGAAGGGAACGAAAAAACTTTCAAGAACTACAGCACGGCAAAAGTCGCATGTACCAGATTATGATGAAGACCGATTAAACATGGTTCAATCACGTGATATCGTTCGACCGCCGGAGAAGCACGACCAAGGACCGTGGACGATTGAAGCAATGGATCTCTTTGATTGGCGGCCACCTGATTGGGAAATGAGGTTGTTAAAACTTTCAACTTGAAATCCAGACAAAGGCATACGGACGCCAGCTACTGAGCTTTTGCGATTCTATCTTTGCATTGCAGAAGGTCAAATCGGAGACTCCTTTCATGTCCCGGCAATCTCCGCCCCCGAGCGATGGAGTTAATCGATGTTCGAAAGCCATTGAATTAAAATCAATCCTTAGAAACTCCGGCGACTCTCGCTATGTTGCACCGTGCTGGAGCTATTGACCATGTTGCCATGGGATGGCATTTCATGATGCTTCCATCCATGTTGCCAACCATTTTGGCTGCAGTAGGACAGCGATTACCTGCATAATGGCTGCAAAATCTGCTAATCTATGCGTCGATTGATGGATCAAATCGTTGTGTAGCTGAGCCCCAAAATTCAGCAGCTAAACGTAGTCTGATGCCCTATCGTTCCAAGTAGACAGGATCAAATACCAGCGGTTATGACATTGACAGAGAAACTTACCACTAGCGGGGGATCATCTAGTGCTAGTGTGGGGATTATTGCGACGCCGTTGCTCATTCCACTAGACTTCGCAAGGTCGAGTGTTCTGAAGTACACTATATGTGGAGGACTTGATGAAATGCTTAACCTGAAACAGGACATGCAAAGCGCATACGCCTGTTTGGCACAACTGTCACAGGCAAATGGAGATTGGCTTTAACAGTTATACTTCGCTGGTTGCTGGTAGCGGAGTGTTAATTTATTTTTGGATGGATCTCTAACCGCATGCGTTCACGAGTTACAGTCACTATAATGTGTAGTCACCCAAACGCCTGCTGTTAAGTCTTGATTGATTGTCAAGTTTGAAACAACGGGAGCTACGGCTCTGAGCGCAGTGAACCACTTTGCATGAACGCGCCCACTATCCGTGTAGGCTCCGAGCTCGCATATGGATTTGCCATTGCTACAAATATGCTGGCAGTGTCTAGTAGCCGATCGGAGATAATTTGAAGCGGTCAAAAACTCTAGCCCGTAGAGTGAAAGGGGAAAGTGGTTCGCGCAAGTGAAGCCTGTGAACATTTTCTTGCCAGTGCGATTGCTCAACACACCAAAAGATCGGGCAGGGCGATCTGAGAGGCAAAGATGAATGAGGGTTGCCGAAAGGATTCCGCAAATCCAAAATAGCGTTGCGTTGTAGCAGCTCGGCTTGCACAAAATAAAACCGGGACGCGCGGTAAAAAATCTTGCAGCATAGGTACGTGAAGACAAGCTAACTCGTTAAGCGTGGTAAGGATCGAATGCGAAGAGAAAGATTCTGCCTCGGAGTTGTGAAATCGTAGATTTTCTTTCTGGATTCACCATCTAAATGTTACATGTAGGAGGGATCAGCACCGAAGTTGGCCCATTCAGATTTTCACCTGGATGCCTTTCGTTGTTATTAGGAGTTTATCACAGCACACGCTCGTTGGCTTGCCCTTTTTTGGTATCCAGCTTGAAGCCGAGCCTGCGAGCGTTCCAATCGATTTTATGTCATCGTTCACGCAGACATGCCAGGAGCATTCCAGGGACATGCCTTTTTTCAGATTTAATACCCGTCTTCTGCACACAACTTTTTTGCCTTACGCGAGCTAAATTTGGCAAACCTATTGACTAAGATACCCCACTTTAGCAGTGTTTACCATCTGTAAGTGAGAAATTTCGTGAATCGTGTAAATATTGCTCTCGTTGATACAATACGGGAATTTTAGTATATGCAAATACTATACTACACGAAAAACGCAATACGTCTATTTGTAGTATACATGGAATTATTAATACTACTACATGTACTCCTAGAAAATCATGTTAATAGTATTAGAAAAGTATTCTTAAATATTCTATACTGATACTGATTTTGTACTAATAATTGCCATTTGGTTTATTGTATAATAGTGATAGTGTAGATAGTGTCCTGTTCTATACCGTTGGGACAACATTACCATTATGGTAACCGCTCAGTGTTCTTTTACCATTTACGCATCAATAATTTCCAGTAATACATAATTTGCAACGAGCCTTCTAAACTTTGACCTTGCGATTGCCTTGAGAACTACGAAAAAAAGGGTTCCTGCACTCTGACTGCATCGATCTGCAGCTAGCTTGTTGCCTCGTTTACACTAAATCCCGCATCGCAGGTTGCACCTGCAACAGTGTCGAATTTGATTATTTACGCTGTTGTAATCTTGCACTTCCTTTAATACGGATTGTCCTTTCAGATCACAGCCGGTCGTAGTCGGTGCCAGTTACTCTTTGTGCTTGAGGATCGCTCGAAAAGACAGGCTACACTAGTCAACTTAGTATAACTGGATGACATTATATATATAGCCTAAGAGTCGGTGAGGATGTGTTTTAATGCTGGAGCTGGAGACAAGTGAAAAGGGTAGCATCGCCCTTTTACTGTGAAAAAATCCTCTCTCGAACCCTTTTCATGAAGAGCAGCGACTTGACTTATGCCCATCGCCCACTGAAAGCCTGTATATAATGAAATGCCTGTAACCCAGATCAATCATGTTTCGTAAAGAGTTTTCCCATTTCACCAAGTCCAACCCCTCGTCATTCCATTCAGATCTCTCTTCTGGTCACATTCTGTCCCAAGCGGTTTGAATACTCTCAAAATCAACACCTGCTTCCACACATCGACAGTGGTTCCACCGTTGTTCAAGTTGCATCTCAAAGGTTCTCGAAGTGCAATGCTTTTTTGCAAAGTGTATGCGATCTGTGCCTGTGCTACACAGGCACAAGGAAAATCTATGGATACTGCTGAAAGCATTGACTCAGCACAGCAGAGCTCACTCTCAATCAAACCTTCCATGATCATGATCCCGAAAAAAAAAAAGATAAAAACGCAATCGGAACTCCCTGTCACTCCAGCTCAATCCCATAAGGCGACTTCCTTCAGCGATAGAAATTTTTCAAAACAAGTGAGACAGAAACTTGATCAAAACGCAGGTCAGCTTCTGCTTATCTCTTCGGGAAAATTGCCGACGTTGTCACAACCAGAAGCAGACGACCAAGCTGCGTTGGAGGCCATGATGAGCCAAGAAAGAGATCGTATTCCAAGAGACGTGGGCTTGGTCACTTGTATCAAAAGTTGAAGACAACATGCTTGAAAAAAACCCTGCGCCGTCGCGCTTAAGTCGAAGAGACATGAATGACTGCTCATGTAAAGTATAAGCAGTTTTCGTCACTTTTATTTTGTGTTCAATCTTGATCGGACAGGAATTCGGGGTATTAAATCGCAGATATGTAGCATTGTATCTACGTGAAGAACGAAATATCTTATCAGCAAAACATACACGAAACGTTTTCTAAACCGCGTCTAGCTTTATCAAGTTAAACAGAGGAAGAAATTGGGCGGTGAAATCCACATGTAGACTTGTCCGAATGAATCACGATGCATGACGCTAATTCAACCAGTATGAGTAATGTCATGCGGTCAAGATTCTTCACTGGAACTTAAGGACTCCACCCTTTGCATCTGCATATTCAGTTCGGTTGTATAGAAAACAATTCAACGATAGGAAATAGCTTGTGAATAGCATGTAAAATTTAAAAAAGGAGAACCCCACGAGAGGCCTGCTAACATGCCAGATTGATAGTCGAACTGGCATCTGCTTTTGTCTTTACCAGAGAATTCTCTTGCTGTCAAATGGGCATAAAATAAAAATCGCGGTCAACGAGACTTGTACGGGACTTCTAATTGACGTGGTTGGGGTCTCCGGAGCGGTCATCTTGACCGGTGATCTTCGCTACTAATAGATCAAAAGGCACTTAAATGGCCAGAGATAAGATTGTCGAAAGCACTGACGTGGATTACTGGTTTCCTGCTAGAACGATGTAAAGCAAACGAAGAATATGGTACGATCTCGGGAAAGGGCTTACTTGGCAGAGTGAGAGAAACGCCGGATCAGACAAGAGGACAGGCCTGAAATCCTATTCTTAACATAAGAATCATTGGCCGCTGCATGAATACCTGGATCCGGCACTGTTAAGCTGATTTGAGGCAAAATCCAGATAAACTGGCGAGCGCTCTCCCACAGCCTCAGGTCATCTAAAGAAGCCCTGTCGATCTCAATGGTCGCATGTTCGCAGAGAAGGTTAAGATCCGGTTGTAAGTCATTTCAAGTCAGTGCAAGCACTAAGGCACGCTGTGAAACACGTGAACCGAGTGCAGGTACCCAAAGCCTCAACAAACTTCTTAGCTACGTGCTGTACACGTGGGCAGTGAACCAGTTTGGCGGTCCTAAGAAACAAAGATTCCATTGCGTTTTCTGCATATTCGCGATTTCTACTCGGCAGACCGTGCCTTTGTTCTTAGGTCTACAGTAACAGGTTACGCGAAGAGAAGAAAAACCATGTAGATCACAAAAGATGATTTGAATGGCACACGAGTCGCCGTGGCACATATTGGGTAAGTTAAGGTTGAATATAAGCTTCGCCATGTGAGGCCTCCAAGCTCGAAACGTCAGGTTACTCGGGTAGGGCTTAGTGCCAGGGGCTTTCCATTGTCTTAGCTTCTGACAATGACGAGCCATCCTCGTTCTTGCTAAGGACAGGCGAGATAAAAGGCTGCAACGTCAGGATTATGGCATCTGATCCCAGCAACTGCGCCATTGTTCAGCCACGGAAGAAAAATAGCCTTGATTTACGTCCGCAATGCGAATGAGGTTCCTCGAAATGCATGGTACTTTCTATTATTTCTTCCATCTTCTTGATCTTAATTTATTTCGCGATTGCAAAGGCCATCTCGACATTTACTCCATTTCACCTTTTAGTCGGTGCATGATAGATGAATAAATACATATTTGCTCAGTTCTCGTTCTAGGCACCTGTTAGGAATACTTTCCTGATACCGACTAGCTTCACTAATGTAAGCCACTTCGGAAGGGTTTAGCTTCCTAGAGCAGAGGAACAATGTATAACAAGAGCTTATTGTGGAAGGAATACAATAAGATAGTTATGTTTATGACTTAGAATAGTCTGAGCTTCAAGAGTATGAGAATGTATTCAAACTAACTACTAGGTAAA